CAGTCACCTCTCATTTACTCCTTGTCAGATACTATAAGGCAGGCGCCATTATGGTATAGATGCGCACACCGAAGCTCAAGGGGATTAGCTACCTTTCAAGATCACAAGGCATGAAGTGTGCTGGGTCTGAGGTCTGCCTCCAATATGCTCTCTCTGGGTCCACTACCACAATGTGCCTTCCTAATTCTCAAGGGAGAAAGCAAACAGGCTGTTGGAAGGGAGTGTGATGGGACAGAGTAGCCTGGGGGGTCCAGAGCATGAGCAGCTGCCAGCTGCGACTGACAAGAGTGAGGGTGCAGCAGGAGAGGAGGTGTGGAGAGACGTGAGGGTGGAGGACCGGACATCAGGTGGTGTGGGGGTTCCCCAGGGCACCCTTAGGACCAGGCAGAAACTGGGAGAGTGAGGACCTGTGCTTACCCATGCTGTGTATTCTGGGTTTGGTGTCTCTCTAAGTGACAGGGCTAAAGAAAAAGGCTAAAGGGGGCCTCCCTGGTGGTGCAGCGGTTGAGCTCTGGGCTGCGAGGCTGCCCGCAGCCTCTGCAGCGCCGGTTCAATCCCCGGCTGCTCCCCGGCCACTGGAGGAGGGTCCCACATGGCGCGCAGACCTCTCCTGCCGCCCGCTGCTCCCCTCAGCAGTGTGCTTTGGTCCTTCTGCCTGCTCTGCTCCCCGCTCTGGCTCTGGTGAATTCTCCCACCCTCCCGCGCTTCTGACTGTACCCAGTGCTTGTATAAACAAATAAATAAATCTTAAAAAAAAAAGAAAAAGAAAAAGGCTAAAGGTTAAATCATGAGTATCTGTAATGCCCTTGCACCTCTCTCTTAAGCTAGCTCAGTCATAAATAGCCTTTGATTAGGGTCAACAGGGATGAGTTGGGGGCAGGGGAGAGCGGACAGAGGAAATGTGGACTGGCAGGAGAGGAAAATTGCGGAGGGGCGGTGGGGGAGCAGAAGAGAAAGTGGGCAGAGAAGAGGATATGCAGGACGTCTAGGAAGCTGTGCTGTAATTGTGCTTTCCAAGACTTCAAAGCTGGACTTGCCTGTCCTATCTCTGTTCTCCTTTCCTCCTCCTGGGATCATGCAAGGTGAGGGGTGACAGATGAGGAAACTGAGGCAGAGAGAGACAAGATCTCCTGCCCCTGGTTACAAAGTGAGGAAGTGGCCTTGAGAGGTTCAAAGTTAGCCACCTTTCCACTCTTTGGTGATGGGGATATCACCTGGGGTCAAGGACACCCAAAGATGGGTAGCCAAATTCCATACAGGCTTTGTGGATGCCACCCCCACTCCATCAAGACATGGGGAACTACAAATCCCAGGATCTTCAAAGGGAAGTGGTGATGACGTAAAGGCGGAGTTAAGCAGCCAGTTTCTCTGTTTGTAGATAAAAACCAGCCATGTTAGTGGGGTCGGGCATACTTGGCTTGTGCTCTTGGCCAGGCAGTTTTGGTCTCCGGGGGGGTCATTGGGATTCCAGGTTGGTGGAACAGGTAGGACACATTTAAGAATTTATCTCCCTCTTTTCTCCCTGAGTTGTACATTTTCTCATTCCCTTCCCTTGTAAATAAACCTTTTGTAAACCTTTAAAAAAGAAAAAAAAAAAAAGAAAATAATTTTGAAAAAAAAGAAAAAAAGATGGGTAGCCATAGGGTGCAGAGAACTTTTCTTTGAAATACAACAAATTTTTGGGCCAGATTTATTTCCCTCAAATATTTTTTTTCTCAAATATTTCTTATTCATATTAATGGTAATGTCCTTGTAAAATAATTACCTCAAAATTTTAAAGATAAAGACTGAGCAGTGGAGAAACTTAGGAGAAAATAAGTCATAGTAAGTCAGGGAGAAGGTTAAAAACATTCAAATTCTGTAAATTTCAAACTTTTATTTTTTAAGCAAACTCTTAAACCCCCAAATTCCAAAATAGATAAAAATGATGCCCTTGTCTTCTCAGATTCCCATTGTAAATATGGAAGATCAAATCCTGCTCCTTTTAATACAGGGAGAAACGGAACCTGGAGGTAAAGGGAGGAGGACAGAAATCAGGCAGACCTGTGGCTGACCCAGTTTTAACACTTTCTTCCTCAGTTGCCAGGGCAAATCAAGTCACATCTCTGTGCCTCAGTTTCCTTGCCTATGACATAGATGGGCTACTATGGAGCTTTAATAGCTGTTACATATGGATGTGTATTCACATACTATCTGGAACATGTTCAGTAATTGGTGGAGGGAGTCAGTCAAGGTGGCCAGGGTATTCGAAAAGGGCAGCCAGGAAAGGGCAGCCAGGGCTGGCATGTCACCTACAGCATGTTTACAACACCACGTGCCATTTAGAAAATGAACCCCTGCTTGTGCACTTCAGAAGGCAGACAAGGCCATGAGGACCTCCCCAGTGATGACACAGATGGAAGAAATACTGCAAGTGGAATACCTCTGGGGTCCTTCCACCCAGAGCCTGGCTCTTGGCTCTGTGTTTACAGGTCTGCTGCAGGGAGAGCTGAAAAAGGCCAGGACAAGTTGCCAGTGTGACTGGGAATCATGCCATCAGCCCCACTGGGGAGCCAGAGCGCCACATGATTTCACTCATGGTTACAAAAGGAAAAAATGCAAGTGCTTCTGTCCTTTCCAGTTGCCTCCTACAGCCTGACATTTACACACCTGTAGGAACATTCTTTTGTCACTGGAGAGATGCCACTTAGGGATCTCACAAAGTGCTTGAGGAAGAAAGGGATCTTTAGCTTTAGTTCAAAAACATAGAAATGCGCTATGCTAATCTGGCTAATCTGGCATAAATTGTGTTAATACCCCAGGGGAAACAAAAGGGGAAGCTATTTTAGCAACATTCCCTAATTAGGTTGAGATTACATGTGGAGGAGAATGTTCCCATTTTCCTTATGGCTAATGTTTTGATTCTCTCAAAACATGGTTCTGCCTGGAGGGCCCTCATGGCCGGGTGAGGGTCAGATCAGAGTGAGCTCAAGACAGGGGAGGCTGGTGTTTTCATCACAGGCCTGTTGAAATGACAGGTTCTCATGTCACCCAGGTTCCCCTTGGAGTTGTCTCATAATTCTCCTGCAAAAGGGGTAGAAACCAAAAGCTCTTCTGAAAGAGGCAGGTACCCTTTAGCACATTCACTCCAGTGACAACTTCTGTGATTTTCAAAAGGAAGTGCAAAACAGTAAGTGAGGAACAAACCAGTGTTGCCCACAGTGGGTCATGCTTTCATTTGAGACTTCCCTCCCTCCCACCCAGCATGGCTGCATGGAAGCCACATGCTATTAGTTCCACATAATTGAAAAGTGTGTCAGGATCTCTCGGACACAAACCAGAAACATGCTGCTCAGTTGTCACCTCCAATGTGACTAATGCAGTCGTGTCTTAATTAGTCTCACTGTCTATGCTGACAAACTCGGAGCCTGTTCCAAGGCCACAATTCCTGATAGGATGGTGCAGATGAGATGAAAGGACCAGGTCTCTTCCACCAAGCATGGTGAACACAGTGTCCTCTACCAAGTACATGTCAGGCTATCACACATGTCTACTGTGATACTAGAGGCAACAGGGAAGAAAGGAGGAAATGAGAAAAATAAACAGTGATCTAGAAGATTGCTTCACAAGTCTCTCTGAGGCTGACAGGATAACGTGGGGTGAGCCAGGTCACCCTGCACACCCTCTACCCAAGTAGAGCCTGTTGAACCAGGGCTTACCTGACCCATCTATTGGCTCACTTATGACCATGACCCACAGTAGCTGCCCTAGAAAGAGAACCGGGGCCAGCTGCATTTCAGTCTTTGCATTCAGAACAGAACTTCAAGCTGAGAAAAGAGACTGGAGGTTAGAGAGAGAAGGTGGTGAAAGAAACTGTCTCATCAATGGAAGAACTTGGGTCTCTACCCTGACAGCAGCCTCTGGTTCTGGGAACTCCTCCTCCCTGCCCACCAGCCTGGCCCCACTGACTGCTATCTGGGCCTTTGGAGAGGTGGGAATCAGTGCAGCATGAAGCCTGGGGAGCAGAGACAGCCAGGAGCTGCCCTAGTGCCCAGTGCCTGCCAGCCTTACGGGAGGCAACCTCACGGAGTCTCCCACCCTTTCTTCCCGTGTTCATTCAGCTTAAAGGCATAGCATCCAGAGCCCTCAACTCTTTAGGAACCTGCTGAAATGACTTAGATGGAAACAAAATTTACTGGCTCCAAATTACAAAGCTTCAGAACTGATGCTAAATGTCTACAGAACACAGCATCAAGTCAATTAGCCAACTCTAACATATGTGCAGTGGGGCTTGGTGTGCTCTAACAAGTTTGATAAGCTGTGGGGAGGGGTCTCCAACAGCATGTTAGCTAGAGTCTGCAGAGGCTGGAAGAGCGTTCTGGGTACACTTACTCTGCCCAGGACCTATTTCATAAAAGGAAAAACCCTAATCCCTAGACGTCACCTCTGACACTTCCCATTTAAGCCTTTCTGCCCAAGAAGGCTGGAGAAGTCAACAAGCAAAGAATTGGCTGCATTTTGGGATGTGGGGCCCATCTGAGGATAATTAAGCAGTATTTATAAGATACCAGGCTCCTAAAGGAAGCTGAACTACATTAGGACCTCACTTTTCCTATTTTATTCTTATACTCTATTTTACTCTGGCTAAAAAAATCAATGACTCTAAATAGTGGGACTGATTATGCCATGGGAATTGGGGTTAATTGATGAAGCAAATCAATGAGTCTTCCTTGTCCCCAAATTCTTCAAAACACTTGTTCTGCTTCCCGTGAAAGTTAATTAGCAAGTGAAATATTTTCAACATTAAAGGCTATTCACCTAGATACAATAAATAATAGTAAAACATCATTTTTCATCTGCATTAGATTGGCTCAGAAGCCTCATTTCCGAACAAATGCTCAAGTCTCAGTCTCTTCCTGGAGACTCATGGAATCATCGCAAATAAAATGGTATTTCAGAGTAGAATTTTTGTGCAGTTGCTCTTTTGAGGTCTCTGGGTTTATTGTTTTCAAGAAACTTTTAGGGGATTTCTTGACAAGATACCTCAGCTCATCTCCCAAATCTGGTCCTTCTGACAGACTCCACAGGCATCATGGCTACCAGTTTGCCTTCCAGAACTCTTCCATTGGGCTACTGAGATTCTGGGACAAGCAGCATTCTAAGCCCATGGGTCAGCTCCCAAAGGCTCACACACCTGAGCTCCTGGTGGGAGTGCTGTTCAAATTGCCATCAGTGCCAAAGGCCACCCCCTCTACGTCTGGCCTAGCCTCCCCTAAGAACAGTGATTTTTAAGTTTGCAAAATGGCCCCCCGCTTTCTGTTTTCTAGTTCCTTCTCAGATCGGCCTCATTTTCAGATATGGTCCTCCAAGACTGGGCCAGGGAACACATTCTGCCTGATTTCCCCACTGCAACTGAATTCTATCCATCCCAGAGGCCTTATGACATCCCTCACATGAGCTTCTCACCTGAGCCCCTTCTCCTGGAGCTACTGGAAGCTCTATTCCCTTTTCTCCCACAACATTAAAGCTGCTCAGGAAAGAATTGCTAACAGGTTATATTGCATCTCAGTGTGAATGAGTGTCACTGAGTCCTTCTCTGGGGGAACTGAATTTCAACAGAGTTTGATCTCAGTGAAAAGATGTCATAAGGGTGAAGGGCTAGTTTGGATTCACTAAAAAGTGCACTGCCTATAACCATCCACTGACCTACCTGCCCCTGGTCTTAATCCTGACCTGTCAATGAATGGCTGCTTAGTTTTAAAAAATAACCAGTCCTCCCTGGTGGTGCAGGGGCTAAAGTCAGCACTATCAAGCTATCACCAGCCACTGCAGCATGAATTTGATCCCCGGCCAGGGAGCTGACCCACATGGCGCAGACCTCTCCTGTCACACCCACTGCTCCCTTCAGCAGTGTATTTCAGTAGACCTGCCTGTTCTGCTCCCCACTCTGTCTCTGGTGAATCCTCTCATCCCCTTACACACCTGTGGCCTATACCCCAGCTCTTATATGCATAAACAAGTAAAAAAATAAAAAATAACCAAGACAAGGACCAGGCCAGAGAGAGAAGATGGCAGAGAGAAAGTACAATAAAGTGTACTGTTTATTGGGCAGGAAGGGAAGAGCAGTGACTTTAAACTGCTAGCCTTTCAGGCCCAGACTTGGGAGACTAGATCACAGAGGCCAAGAGCCTGCCCTCGCTTTCAAAGTCAGAAATCACAGTCCAGAGAGAGTAAGGAGAAATGTGCCAATGAGGAAAAAAATGGCTCACATACACAAGTTATTTGCCTACCTTCCTTTCGAAATTTAATAGTTTTTGGAAGAAGGGTGTGCGAAAGAAATACCTTTACAAAGATGTGAAGAAAATAATTTATTCATTTTAAAATCAGGGGATTGGCATGAAACAGCACCGTGGATACATGATTAAATAGAAGGAAGTGCCTGGCTGGGATATACAGCTGGGACAGGACAGAAAAAGAGCTCCAGCTCTGAGGGGTGCTGCTGAGGAACTGACAGGACAAATCTGAAGTCACCAACACATAAGTATGGCCAGAGCAGCACAGACAGAAGAGATACTGCTATTCTCACCAGCAAAAGCATCTTTGTTTCCGAAAAGGGTGTGCTTTAGAGACTTGTTTCCATGGAGAAGTTGCCTCACTATATTTTAAGTGGTACTTAAAGTGGAAGTGTGACTCCCCCAGGCCCCAATCCTTCTTGGGTAAAGTGAGGCAGCTCAGCACCCATGTGGACACAGGGAATGCAGTGGTCAGACCCAACTGCTGTCTTCAGGGAGGTGACCAGTGGTTAGGGGCAGAGGTCCTCTGACTGCATACGGCCTGTTGCCAAAGTGACAGCACAGGAGGCAGATGCTAGAAACAGGAAAACCCCCACTCCCAGAAAATACTCAGCCACAGGGACTATTCTTCTTATTAAAGGGAAGTAGGACACAGCAGAACTGGAGCTGCCATCCCTGGGCCATCTTTCAAGGGGAGCTGGCCCTGATGCGGCAGCCCTGTGCTGACAGCAGCACCAGGTGGAGCGTAAGAAGAGGGAGGAGACAGTGTTGGCTGTCAGACACCAACCCTCTCTCCATGCTGGAGAACAGAGCAGAAACCTTGGTGGGCCTGTTCGTGAAGAGCTGGTAAGTCCAGTGTTGCTGGAGTGAGAGCAGGTCTTTCTCAACAGCGACTGGACACTGGACATATGCACAACTGGTCCTGGGCACTGAGGCTGATAATGACGATGGGATGTGCCAATCTTGATTTGTCCAAGAGCTGATCCCAACGAGAGCCCTGTCCCCCAGACATGCATATTCCAAAGCTCTGGAGTGGATTGAGGAGAGTCTAAGGCTCATAAGTAATGACTCTGTTTTGAGTCTGGAGTCAAATGGGAATGGGGTACATGATAGCATTCTAGGGAAGAGTGGTCAGTGGAGCAGAGAAAAGAACTTGTGAGGGCTGGAGGCCCACTCCTGTTTGTTTGTTGAGAAACAAACAAACAAAAAAAACGTACGTGGGGGAAGGGTAGACTGCCTTCTGTGTATGCCACCCTACACCAGGGGACAATCGGTTTTTCTGAGATAGCCTGATCCTGCCATATAAATGCATGCCCAAGGTCAAGCTTTTGGCCTCTGGCTACTCAGTGATACCTTGCATTTAGCTACTTTCCCCCAATTAGTGCAAAACATTCTTCCCTTAGATCACACACAGAGAGAATGCATACACACACAGAAAGGTGTCCAGGGCACTAGTCTCCCTGCACTAGTGGATCTTGATCCTTCGCCCCTTGGCATTGACTCCTGCTCAGTATATTTAAATGTGTGCATTTTAGCCAAACTATTGTGTGATCAAGATGTGCCAACTTGCCCAAGTGAATCACCTGCTCTTTGGATGTAAAGTTTGGGGACACTGGGGCCAGATGACCTATTCCTTCCAAGGTACAGTCTGTATATGCTACCTCCAATGGTCAATCGTATCCAAAAGAAATGGACACATTAGTGAAAGAAATATTCAGGGTGCAGGAAGGTGAGCCTTAGCCTGGGCCCCCAGTCTAGCTTGGAGGACCAGACCTCCAGGCTGGCTACTTGTTCTGAGGCTGGAATTTGGGTGTATGGACCAGTGCTGAAAGTCATGGGCCAGTGGGAGAGGTCTTACTCAGTGAGACTTGCCATATAGAATTTATCTTATTCTTTTTGAGGGAAAAAGATAATCTATTCTACTTTAGTGGCCACCTGTGCAATCTTCAAGTGCGAAGTTACAGCCAGCTGCCAGACAACCTTCAGAAGACAAGGTAGCTCACATTAGATCAGTCTCAGGCGGCCAGGCCAGGGATCTGGAGGCAGCTTTCACCTACTTTGGGAAAGCGCATGCTAAGCCAGGGAACACAGCAGTGAAGATGGAAGTGTGACATCCCCTGGTTAACTCTGAAAAATGGAATCTGAAAGACTTCATGTTTTCATTTCTTGGATTCTTCATTGAAAACATTTTTCCTTCTCTGAAAATCCAGACCACAGTGTTAACATGGTAAAAACCACAACTTTGTTCATGTTTGGTGCATAACAAATCTCCTTCTTTCTTTACAGAATTAAATAATCCTGTGAAGGGTAAAATACACTCTTTTTCTGAACCAGGTGATTATTACGATCCAGGATATAGTTTGTTGCAACATGTAGCTCCTAAGATGGATTGCCCCAAAAGGAATTAATACATTCATAAAAGAGAAAAATGGCAATTTCAACAAAATGGTGAAAAAAAAAAAACAACTATTTTAAAAGACCTTTTGGTCTTCTGTTAAAAAATGGAATTCCTCCTTCGTGTTTCTGCCTAATTTCAAATGGATGGTAAGTGTTGGTCTGTGGTTCTCTCCAAGGTTTCAACTGTCTGGATTGGTCTCACTCCACTGCAGGTCTCACTCCACAGCAGGGCTCTCTGGCACAGAAAATTTGTTCCACCCACAAACTGCCACGGCGAGTCCAGCCATCACGGGCCCCAGTGCATCCCTGAGGTCACGTCGTTTTATCAGTGAGTCTGGACACACCTAACTGAGTTCTAAGAAAGTGGATCAGTTTGGTCTCTGTGAAGAATGCCGTCCCAAGAGTCACTCCCAAACAGAGGGCCCCCACAGCAATGTGGGCCAGCCTGGCCGGCCAGCCCTGCTCACAACACAGGAACACCTGGGGAAAGAAACCATTGTCACTGTCAGCCCCTGGGGTCAGCACCTCCTTCCCCAGGGCAGCCCAGAGAGGGCATAGCTGCTATCATTCCAGTTTCAAGTCAGATAAAAGGATGGCAGCTACATATGAGGGTCTATTTTGTTCCCACTGGTGGCACAGGTCACATCAATCAGAAGATGATGTCCTAGAGACTTAGGGGGCCGGGGGAGAGGAGGCATGTATTTGCCCAGCTGGCTCAGTTAGCCCAGCAGGGGTGCCTAGAGTGAGGGCCAATGAACAGTTTGCAAAAGCAGGCGGTGCAAAGGCTGCAGATTGTCTCACCTCTGAAATACTAGTTATCCCACCACTGAGGGCAAATGCCCCCAGGAGGACCGGTGACAGGTACAGGCCGGCCAGGGGCCTATGGGGGCTCTTTCGGTAGTAGCGGTGGATGAAGAAAAGGCTCTGCGTGATCCGAATGCCCATGTTAAAGCAGTTGGCCAAGATGAAGCCCACGCTGCCACACCACCGGGTTAGGAGATAGGATAACACCAGGAATGAAGATGACAGGGCTAGCATCGTGAAATTGTACCTGGGGAGAGGGAGACAAGCAAAGCAGAGCCCGAGGAGTGAGCCAACACTCTGACCTGACTCCTGGTCCCTAATCACTGCTCCCCAAGGGAAATCACCCTGTAATCTTGGTTAGTGGACATACTCAATATAAGTAGCCAAGTCTTCAAGTTGAAAGATAAACAGGGAGTAAAGTGTGAATCACCCCGAGTGTTTTCTAGACTCTCACACACCCATCCTTCTGCTCTCTGTATGCTTAGAGCTCTTTGGATTCTATGACTGAATGGAGAACTGTTCCTTTCATGGCTGTTTTCAAAGTCATGAGAGAGCACTGCCCCAGACTCTTGTTCTCACCTATGAATGGGATAGCAAACAGTCACCAAGCTTCTCAGTGAAGTAGACCAAGATGGGAAGCAGACAGAGGCTACTCTAAATGATAGGAAGGGCTCCCCAACTCTTTGAGCTACCCTTTACCCTCCTACCCCAACCAGTCTTAGAGGGCCTTCACAGCACTGAAGGCATGACAGAGACCCATGGGCCCCAAAGCCTCAAGGAGCAGTGGCCCTCAAGGGCCACTCTCCCCATTTGCTATAACCACCTCTTGTATTCACCTCTATACCTTCCTCTCTGTTCTTTTCCCTATTGGCCTTATCCTTCTCAACCTCATGCTGCAGTGATGTCTTAAGATACTACCTTGGTACTTTTTGGCATTTGGGACAAAGAGATGGATGACTCTAGGTGGAGCCAAAGTCATAACCAGAAGTTCATGTAAGAATCACTGTGGAGCTTTTAAAAAACATGCACATGCAAGGGAGCCCACTGGCTCTGTAGGGTGGAAGAAAGAGAGGAAGACGGAAATATATATTTCTAACAAGCCCCACGGGGGACTCTAAATCATAACTGGTATTATGAACTCCTGCCTGAGGTTTCGGGACAAAAAAAGTTCTGATCTGGGATCAACAGATGCAAAAGTTATGGGAAACGTGTCTGTGCATTTGGGCCTTTCTCTGAGGAGAGGTGTTAGAGAGATTCTCGGGGGTAGGACTCTGAATCTCCAAGAAGCTCCTTGGTAACCACCAGCTAGAGTACTGGGCAAGGAGGTAGAGGAGTGAGGGCTAGTCTGTCTTGTGCCTGCCTCTGCAAACCTGCACTAACATAACCCTCAGGACATAGATTCCTTCCTCCACAAAGCAGAGGCAAAGAGCAGTTGCCTAGCCCTATGGTGGGAAGGACTAATTGAATTGTGCCTGGGGTAGGCACCCCACAATAGTGGCCTAGGTGTTACCTCTTAAGAGAGGCTTTGTGAATGCAAATCCAGAATGAAAGAATGAAGATTGCAAATTACTTCATTTTGATTAAAGGTGTGTCTTTAAAGTTACCCACCTGTCAACCTCCTCTTTGCTCATGGCAGCAAACATGAAACACTCTGTCACTCCATTTATGGCAAGCAGAAGGACGTAGAGACAATAGGAACGTAGCAAAACAGGACCTACAAGAAAATAACCCAAGATTCCAGAGCCCAAACAGGAGATACCCATGCATCTTCAGTTCAGCTGGGCACGCAGAGAACACCAGAACTGGGTCAAGACCCGTGCTGGCATCATCAATGGGCAGACACATGCTTGAGCCTATGGTCTTAATTATTTGGAAGGACTCCCAGCATTCCATGGCACTGACTAAAATAAATAGCTAAAAACAAAAGGACAGTTATGAATAAACGTACAGACCTCTTGCTTAACAACTAAAAGTTATCTGCACAGCAAGTAATCCTCACTTTTTCAGTCAGCAGGAAGAGGTTTGTCAGTCTCACCACCTAAAGAAACCTGTGACTCTACATATTGAGATCCTAAGTTGAACATCTTCTGCAGAAAAGACCTTTTGGGGAAGCCCCAGGTCCAGAAGCAGTAGAGCGATAGAAGACCCACAAATCTGCAAGAAGAATCAGAGCCCGTATGTTTTCTTCTAATTCAAAGTGATGTTGTTCTGTAGCTAACTACATAGCTCTGAAAAAAATCTGCTAACAGAAGATTGAGAGCCTTAAAGATGGGGTGGATCCTCTCTTAAGAGGGCCCTTATCAAGAGGCAGCCAAGCAATTTCTAGTAAAATAAATATTCAAACAACCTATGACCCAGCAATTTCACTCCCGTGTATAAATCCATCATAAATGAATATACACAACAACACTTGCTCATAAAAACACTTGTGCAAAGACATCCATCACAGTTTTATTCCTCATAGCCCAAACCGACCACAAACAGGAGAAAGAGAAACAAAGTGTGGGCCATCCGTACAAAGAACTGCTTCTCAGTAATCAAAGAGAAAAACCTATATTGATCCATAGAAAAACATGACTGAACCTCAAAAAGCTTCCTTCTGAGGAAAAAGCCAAACACAAGTGCCTCCCCTGGTGGCGCAGCGGTTGAGCGCTGGACTGCCAGGCTGCCCCCAGCCGCTGGCGAGGGTCCCACCAAAAAAAAAAAAAAAAGAGAGAGAGAAAAAAAAAAAAAAGAAAAAAAAAAAAGGAAAAAAAAAAAGAGGAAAAAAATAGAGAGAGAGAGAGAAAAAAAAAAAGCCAATCACAAAAGTATACCTAACGTATGGTTTTATTTACATGAATTTTTTTTTTTTAAAGATTTATTTATTTATTTATACAAGCACTGGGTACAGTCAGAAGCGCGGAAGGGTGAGAGAATTCACCAGAGCCAGAGCGGGGAGCAGAGCAGGCAGAAGGACCGAAGTACACTGCTGAGGGGAGCAGCGGGGGCAGGAGAGGTCTGCGCGCCATGCGGGACCCTCCTCCAATGGCCAGGGAGCAGCCAGGGATCGAACCGGCGCCGCAGAGGCTGTGGGCAGCTTCGCAACCCAGCGCTCAACCGCTGCGCCACCAGGGAGGCCCTGAAATTCTTTTTAAAAGCAATACTGGTCTATGGTGATAGAAATCAGAACAGTGGTCGCCTCTGAGTTCAGCTGACTAGAAAGGGTCCTGAGGGACCTCTCTGTGGTAATGGGTAATGGAAATGTTCTATATCTTAATTTGATGCCGGGTACATGGGTGCACATATTTGTCAAAACTCATTAAATTGTACTTTTAGGAGTACAGAATTTTACTTTATGTAAATTAGACCTCAATTCAGAAAAACCTTAACCACTGAAAGAAAAGGGTGGGGGGACTAAGTACCAGAATCTGAACTTAAGTTCATGGTTATTAAAGCTGCTTAATATGAAACATGCCTATGCCAAGGGGACCAAACAGTTTTACTGCAGTCAAAAGTACAAGAGGGATATTAACAGGGCAGCAGCCCTGATGCTCAATAAAAAAGTTTTCCGTGGCTCTCCCTTGGGGCCCACATTTTATTGTGTGGTACTGCAGAGACCTCTGTCCCCCACCCCAGCTGAAGGACAATCCCAGTAGAGGGCGCAGGGACCAGGATGTGCCCTGGGATGGTCTGAGGCTAGGCCCAGTGTGCTTTGCACTTCCCTCCCTCCTCTATAAGGCAGAGAGGAATGGGGCACCTCTCGTAACTGCACCGCTCACTTGGTAACTAAAAGCTAATGATGTATGTGAGTCTATGTGAAGTGGCTAGTGAGCTGCTTTGAGACATAAAAAACACAAACTCAAAATAAATAAATAAATAAAAAATAAACAGAAAACACAAACTCCTGCATCAAATAGTGATTTCAGGGGAAGGGTTTTGAGTCAATTTGGGGGAAAGAGTTTGAAATTGGGGAATCCAAGGAAGGAACCTTAAATTATGGACTGACTTGAGGGGTATCACAGGTTGAATTATATCCCTCCAAATAGTATGTTAAAATCTTCATCTCCAGAACCTTAGAAAATGATCTCATTTGGAAATAGGGTCTTTACAGAGAGACTCAAGTTAAATTTCTCATTATGACTGGTGTCCTTATTTTTAAAAAGAGGGGAGGAATTTTGAACATGGAGAAGACTCTTATAGAGGAAAACGATGTGGAGACATACAGGGAGAAGACAGTCAAGAGACTGGGGTAATGCACCTAGAAGCCAAGGACCCCTGGCAGACAACAGAGGCTGAAAGAGACAAGGATGCATCTTCCTCTAGAGCTGTCAGAGGGAGCACGGCCCAGCTGACACCTTGATTTAGACCTCTGGCATCCAGAACTGTGAGATAGTGAATTTCTATGAATTTCAAGCTGTCAAGTTTGTGATACACTGTTATTATAGTCCTAGGAAACTAATGTAAAAGGAAAGAGGAGAAAAGCTGATTTTAAAAAGCAAAGGAAAGGGGTAAGAGAGAAAACTAAGAGATAAAAGTGAGAAATCTCAAGGAAGTTCAGTGACTGTTTTTCTGAAGGATGGAAAAGCTAGGCTTGAGAAAGATCTTGAGAAAATCTCTAGAGCACTTACAAGGCCCCTAAATTGAATTCAGTGTTAATCCAAACAATATAAAGCAAAACCATAATGCTCCACACGAAAGCCTGTGTGTGCTGTGTTCAAGCCCCACATTTGGAAATACCAGCATAGGGGAGGAGGGTGTGTCAGAGGCCAATTCAGGTCACGGGAAAGTTCACTTCACAGTTGGGGACAAAGACCAATATGCAACTGGGCAAAAGCAGACACACATAAACCATCCCAGGTAGCCACAGAAGACCTTAGAGAGAGCTCAAAGTATGGTCAAAATGAGAGGCAGCCATAATGAGGAGACAAATGCTAGAAAACACTGCTGGGGTGGTGTCCCCAATGGAACCCTGGCCCAGGCAAGAGGTCACAATGGTCCCAAAGCCCTGATCGGGTACACTGATCCACATGCTATTTTCAGAAACTGAGAAACCAGATCGTTCTCAAGACTCTACTCTCTCTAAAGATGAGATTGAGAGCGCATCTTTTTGAGTCTAAAATTAATGATGAGGGGGCCTCCCCAGTGGCGCAGTGGGTTGAGCGCAGCACTGTGAAGCTGCCCACAGCCTCTGCAGTGTGGGTTCGATCCTGGCCGGCCAGCGAGAATCCCACATGGCTCAGCAGACCTCTCCTGTCGTGCCTGCTGCTCCCCTCCGCAGTGTATTTCGGTCCGTCTGCCTGTTCTGCTTCCCACTCTGTCTCTGGTGAATCCTCTCACCCTCCCGCACCTCTGACCTATACCCCAGCTCTTGTATAAAAATAAATAAATCTTAAAAAAATAAATAAAATAAAATTAATGATGAGGGTGACCCTAGTGGCTCAGGGGTAAATTCTTGAGCTATCAGGCTACTGCCAGCCACTGAGGCCTGAGTTCGATCCCTGGCCAGGGAGCTACCCACATGGTGCAGCAGACCTCTCCTATCTCACCCACTACTCCCCTCAGCAGGTATTTCAGTAGATCTGTCTGTTCTGCTTCCCACTCTGTCTCTGGTGGATCCTCTCACCCCCCTCACCTCCGGCATACACCATTCCATAAATAAAAAAATTGAAAAAAAATTAATGACAATGACATAAACCACTAGATACAGAACTCATTATCTTAGAAATCAACTAACACCAACCCTTGTAGTTGATAACTCTATTATCAGTGCTCAAAGCTGACACCTTTCACTTGGGTAAAAAGATGACACAATTACAAGTTTGTTTGTGGATTGACTATGATGAGTTATTCCACCAGGAGAACCCTATAGTGATGGACAGCCTGTCCTCATGGCAGTGTCCTGTGACCCCAGTACATTAAAGGCTGATGTTTGTTGATTACCTTTCTAAAGGGGCAAAGCAGCTGTGAAATATTCGAGTCCCCTGTCTCTGCAAACTAACTTGCTAATGGTTTCCTAATGAAGTCTCTCTGCAGCAGCCTGATGGAAATGTACTTCTCACAGCACAAGCCCCAGGAAGCTACAAACCACTCCATTGGTTTCACAGCAGGTACTTCTCCCAACATAATCACCTTTGTTCTAGTGTAGAAACTTGGCCCTTCCCTCCCTAATAACAAAAGTTTGGGCCCATTAGAGTGGAGACTAAAACATCAGTGAGCTTTAAAATGGCATTTGACAAAGCCCTCTGCAGTGAGGTGGGGCAGCAGAAAGACTTCAGGGTTCTTGTCAAGTAACTGAGGAATTAAAAACATCTTTGCTAAACCCAAGCTGAAACATTGCAAATGGACTGTGAGCTTATATCCCAGTACAATGGAAGCTGAAGTCCCCGGGGCCTACCAAGTGAGTGCTGGGAGATGCTCAGTAGCCTCGACACCAGGCATTTCGAGTTGGACTCATTCAATACTTTTCTCCTTCAAAAAGCAAGAGTCACTGGATTAAATATCCATTTTATTTGCCAAAACCAATTTTATTTTCTCCAAATGGCTCTGGGTTATCCTTCAGAGGCTTTTATGCACCAGCCCCTGAGATTTATGTGGCATTGACTGTTTTCAGATGTTTTTAGTACCAAGGGGAGACTCATTAGAGCCCACTCTCTGCCTTTCTCCCTCACCCCAGAGGGAACACAGGAAAATGCTTGGCAAAACACATTCTAGGCCTGAGAGGAAAGCCAAGGCTTTATACCAATTTCTCCGTGTGAGGTTGGAGAACTGATGAACCTGGTGGCAAAGTCCCTGGATGCACCCTAAGCTACATCTAAAGGGAATCATCTCACAGCCAAGCTGCCTCCACTTTTCCCTGTATTCACACAGATATCAACTGTGTGTGCACAGCTCTTGAATTTCCTAAGACTCTCCTATTTCTGTTGGAAATTAGAGCAAATCTGGCAAAACTCTTATGCATACCTGATCCTGAGCTAAGCATGGTTCCGCCATAGATATCCAAAGCCAGCTGAGAATAGGCAAAGCCAAAAACGGTGATAGTCAGGCCAGCTAGCAGGGCCAGCTTAAGCAGGGACTCCAAAACCGCTGCCGCCACAGCAATGTCCTCCTGGGGGGAGGTAGAGAAGGGGGATGGAAGGAAGTTGGATAAATCATGAGCTAAAGAAAATCTTCACATCTTGCCTTCTCCCTTTGCTGTTTCACACATCAGTCTTTCAACTAGTGAGGGCCATCACTGTTTTTCTCTAGCCTATGTTTGTTTCTGTCAATTAGCAAACGAATTAGCACAAGACAATGTGTGTCTCCTTAGGTAGTGTGGGGAAGGACACTCACGTTCACCTCTGATATTTATTTTTAAATGGACAGCGAGTTTTTAGCTCTCTCTATCATTGTGCTTCTCTTGACAAATACCTCAAAATTCTGATGTTGCTGTCAATATACACTTAGGAAAAGTCCTAAATCAGACTGAGAACCATATTAGCTTATTTTGAAAAATAGTGCCTTAAATTATATTTTGCAAAATGTCTTCTAAAACATATAAGAAGTTGACCTAGCTTGCTTTCATCTTAAGATAAGTCAGATATTTTCAATGGTTTTGGAAAAAGTGAAGTTTCCACAATGTAATAAATCCTGGATTAAAATCTCTTCTTTTGTATTTACCAACCAGAGTATGTAGATTTATAGAGCGAAAGTAGCTCTGAGCACTTCACAGTTCTTATGAAGCTTAAACAACTAGTGTGGTGAGTGAAAGAAAAGTGACCACGTCCTTCCCTCCCCATGCCTAAGGTTAGCTTTGTTCCAGTCTCAGCATGCTTTGACTCACTTTTGGTTCTGAAAATTATTATTCACTAGATCATTCCTATGCCATTGGGAGGGGGTCTGTGCTGCACTAGGGACAAGCAGAGTTTTGAGAGGACAGGATCAAGAATAAGGTCACAAAGAAGAAGAGAGATGAGAAGGCAGGGCCAACCAAAGGAGAAGGCCATGAAAGAAGTGGGCTCTGGGTCCTGTCATCATTCAGAACATGATAAAAGAATGAATACTAGAAGAAAATTTTAGCTTTAAATGGAAGGAAATTGGCAGATCCACATTTCTGTCTGTTCACCTTACATTTAGAGAGGGAATTTACTTGAGACAGTGACATGAGAACCAAGATTACCTGCTTCTGAAGTGTAGCCTCCTTTTCTCTCTCCAGCACCTTAGCAAAGAATATATAAAAACTCTCCTCTATTGGTTGGAAAATTAATCTGGCCACAAGGGAGCCAAGATTATTCACTATATCATATACACCTACAAAACATAAAGAATGGATGAACAATCTTACACGTTTTCTATTTGAATTTTCACACTATAATTTTTCCCTAATTTTAAAATTAAACTTTTTGAGATAATCATAAATTTGGTTCATTTGGAAAATTAAGAGAGTCCAAGTACCCTTCACTCTGTTTCCCTGAATAGCTTGCAAAACCATCTGCGATATCAACCAGGATACAGACAAGGATACAGTCAAATTCAGACCCTTTCTATCACTAGCACTTTTTAAAACAAAAGTCATTCAAGCCAAGTTGATTTTCTCATGCTCTTCTTTCTACTATTTTGGGATTAAAGTAAAAAATAACTGTATAAAATAATATTGAGGTCTATCTAGTCAAACAAGCATGAAGTACATCTTTGTGATTGTGATGATAAGTTTCCTTTTCTCTTTGCTCAGCACCCCTCACCCTAAAATGAGCAGCAGAGCTACACAGGAAGCAGGGTAAGGCAGGGGATTTCAACAGTCACACATGCCACCAAAGTCACATGTGAATAGAGAGTCAGTACACTCTGTGTATTTACAAAGACCTACATTTTTCAATCTTTTGGACTCTTTATTTTATAGTCTTCATTTTTAAATAATCTTTGGGTTCATTTTTTCATTAAATGTATCAAACTGCAGAGGAAGGTATTACTTTCCTCTACTAACTACTAAATAAAGGTATCTACTAACAGTATTTACCTTTATTTGAAACACTACAAAATTCCATCTTACCTTGATCGCCAAAATTTAACACATTCAAAAATGTCATCACATATCTCTCACCTAAAAATGGAAAAGTACAAATAATTAGCATTTCAAATGCATATTATTTTCCTGTTTCCTTTTACTGCCTGTCAACTTTTCTAGTTGGTAAATATGCCCACAGGAGAAAAATTAGGTAATCAGTTATAAAGATCCTTGATCTAATGTTGATTTAAAACAATCTCAAAATAATAATTTGGAATGTGCTGGGGGCTTTGTTGACAGAAAATCTCCAAAAAAGTTAAAAGCAAAATTATTTAATAAAACCAGTCTAATAAGTTAAAAAAAAAAGTATGGGGAGATCACTAAAATGTTAATAATGAAAATGATTGCCCTAAATTTTAAGGGAGGTCAGATAATTAAAGTCTGTGAAATATAAATTCCACAATTATATGCACAGACTCATCAAAGGTTCCTTCCAGACTGGAGAAAATTCTAAGGAGGCTGGTAAGGCTCTGGAGACCAAGTTCATGATTCAAATCTAAGACAGTCAAATGCCTTCAAGGCAATGACACCAATCCAGAGCCCCACCCCCGATTCCATGAATTTTCTTATCCGTGAGTGGAAAGCATTGACCACTATGGTGAGGGAGCACTGAAGATTGCCTACTGCCCTACAGGGGAAATTCTCACCTCCCTTTGCCCAAAAAGGAATGCATTATTAATACACTAGAAGCAGTGATGCTCTCTCAAGTCTCTCTTTAGTCCTTACCTCTGTGCAATTCCACAGCCACTGCATCTGGGCAGGGACCCCTGCAGGAGCTAGCTCACAAAACTACATTTACTCCCACCAGTATCTCTGCACTGTTTCTGTCCATCCTTGCTGCTAATTGTTGCTGCTTTTGCAAGTACAATCTTAAGTCAATCCCTGTTTTCTCACCTTTGAATGGCTCTTTATTGTTTAAAAAAAGCTCAGTTCCTTAGTTCTGCATATGTGTCTTTTACAAACTAACTGCAAGCTCTCATTTTGGTCTTCCTTCACCAACCTCACCCCCATCTTCCTTTACCACACTGTCACCCTTCAATACCAGGTTTTATTGCCTGGTAAAGGGTCAGACTGAGCCTGGTCATACTCCCAGTCTCAGCTCTTGTCAATCTTACCATCTAGAATGGTTTTTTTAATTGGGAAGTCCCTCTCTTCTGGCACAACAGGCCTCACCTTCCTACATTCTATAAGCTCCCAAGGGCAAGAACCAGGTCTCTGTGTCCCTGCTTTCCTAGCAGAGTTCCAGGAAATGAGATGGCACTCAAGAGACTCTGGTGAGTGCAGTTTTTCTAAGTACATCCTGCATCAGAGTTAACCACACAAATGTGTCTTTGGTTAGAGAAAGAGCTCCTTGAGACCATGACCTGTGACTCATCTGTGTATTCTCAGCTTCTACCACAGTGTTCAGGAATGTGGGAGCAGAAGGTAAATAGCATATACATTTTTGCTACTATAATGAATGATTTCAACTCGTTTAGAGCTACAATATTTTTAAAGATTCATTTATGCATACAAGAACTGGGGTATAGGCCAGAGGTGCAGGGGGGTTAGAGGATTGACCAGAGACAGAGTGAGGAACAGAACAGGTAGATTGACTGAAATACACTGCTGAGAGGAACAGCAGATGAGTCAGGAGAGGCCTGGTGCACCATGTGGGTAGCTCCCTGTCTGGGGATCAAACTTGTGCTGCAGTGGCTTTGGATAGCTTCATAGGTTGCCTCTTAATCCCCTGCACCACCAGGGAAACCCTAGAGCTGTAATTTTTAGGTAAAAAGAATCTAAGGGTCTCTCTGGTGGTATAAGAGGTTAAGTCTCACAAATGGGGACAGAGAGGCCTGGGGGAGTTAAAATAAAGATGTGGGGGAAGAAAATAACATGATAACAACGATGGTTGTATTGGAATGCTGGAATTAGAGGGAACTTTTTTCTGTTTTCCAAAATTTTTATAATGGGATTCTATTATTTTTAAAATTAAAAGATAATTTTGAAAAGATTTTAAAATGTGTTCAGTAGTAGATAGATGTATAGACATATGAAAATTACATATAGAGAAAAGCTACTACCTTCAGCAGCTTACAGAAGCCTCAAATATCATTCTTTGAACTAAAGCTGGGTGTGAAAAAACTAACATATTCATATGTGCTATGAATGGACTTTCAGCTCTCTCCTGGCCCTCTGCATCAAGAGCTCTGTCACTATTCAAGGAAAGGACCTAAGACATTTAAGGCTCAGATGGCAAGCTCAGATGGCAAACTATAATCCTATATCCCTGAAACCTATATAAGTCAATGTTACTTCAATAGATTTTTTTTAAAAAGTTGAATTTTATTGGTGTTTAACAAAATAAAAGAATGGAAACCTGGCTCTTAGAAAAAGCAAAAAAAAAAAAAAAAAAAGAACACTGAAATATATCTATGTATAAAATGAAAACAGAAAGGACCAAAAAAAACAAGTTAATGTAGAAAAATTTAGCACATGATAACAAGATTATGGATAGCTTCTCCCTTTTCTAAATTCTCTGTAATCAACACAATACTTTTTTTTTTTTTTAAGATTTATTTTATTTATTTATTTATTTATTTATTTATACAAGCACTGGTACAGTGAAGCACAGGAGGGTGAGAGAATTCACCAGAGCCAGAGCGGGGAGCAGAACAGGCAGAAGGACCGAAGTACACTGCTGAGGGGAGCAGCGGGCGCAGGAGAGGTCTGCGCGCCATGTAGGACCCTCCTCCGGTGGGAGCAGCTGGGGATCGAACCGGCGCTGCAGAGGCTGCGGGCAGCTTCACAACCCAGCGCTCAACCGCTGCGCCACCGGAGGCCCTCAACACAATAGTTTTATAATACATTTCATTAAATGATATATATATAATTTGGGGTTTCTTGGGTTAAAGTTGGACTCAGAGGAAGCTGTTCCTCATTACTGTAAGAGCCTGCAGAAGTTATATAACCTCACTGACCTGCAGTTTCCTCTGAGACAATATTTTTCTTACAAGGCTTTGGAGAGATTTAAATTAGACTACTTAAATAAAGCGGCAAGCTAAATAAATGTTAGCTTCCCTGTCCTTATATAAAAAGCTCTCATTGCTGAGGCTCCTCTGCTGAGAGCCTTGAGACAACAGGTAGCCTGGATCTAGGTAACAGGCCATTGTGACTCCACATGCTTGCCTTATGCTACAGTTTTCTCACGGCTGAGTGACCTTTTACTTACCTTCTGTCAGAATCTGTTTCAAGAAAGACTGTTTGAAAAAACTCCAAGTTAATTTAGCCTCTTTCCAATTTACAAAAGCCTAGAAAAGAAAACAAAACAAAAACTCCCAGTTACTGCAAGTCTAAGAATACAGTAATGCTACATAAGAGGCAAATTCATTTTGGTTCCTAAATATCAACTTGGATAGCACTGAGTAATTTTTCATTTAATGTTAAGCATAGAAAGCATCTGACGAGTACTGGCAAAGAACATACATTCCTAAACATGAATACAAAGGCTCTAGGTGGAAGAGCATCTCTATAAAGGGCCTGCCTAAGCTCCATTCACCAGGATTCCTGAAGAACTGCGCTGTCCAGGGAAAGCAGGACAGGAAGCTGACCACATCTAACAAAGACAGCTAGCAGTCAGTTTTTTCCTTAAAAAATGTCTGATATCAGCTCTTTGCAGATTTTTGTGATCAGTCCTTTATCATTAGTGTTGTGTGCAAAAATGTTCTCCCAGTCGGTGGGGTTTCTCTTTGTTTTTGTTATTGTCTCTTTTGCTGTGCAGAAGCTCTTTAATTTGATGTAGTCCCAGCTGTTTATCTTTGCCTTCACTATCACTGCTTTGGGTGATGTGTCTGTAAAGATGTCTTTGATGTGAATATCACGTAGTGTTTCGCCTATATTTCCTTCTATGTATTTTATGGTTTCAGGTCTTATGTCTAGTTCTTTAATCCATTTTGAGTTGATTTTTGTGTATGGTGTGAGGTAGTGGTCAAGCTTCATTCTTTTGCATGTAGCGACCCAGTTTTCCCAGCACCATTTACTGAACAAACTTTCTTTGCTCCAATGCATAGTCTTTGCTCCTTTGTCAAATATTAGCTGACCATAAATCTGTGGGTTTATTTCTGGATTTTCTATTCGATTCCATTGGTCTGTATGTCTGTGAGACTCAACAACAACAAAGAAAATAATCCAGTCAAAAAATGGGCAGAAGAGCTAAAAAGAAACTTCTCTGAAGAGGAAATGCAAATGGCCAACAGGCATATGAAAAAATGTTCAACATCACTTGTAATCAGGGAAATGCAAATCAAAACTACCATGAGATTCCATCTTACACGAGTGAGAATGGCACATATTAAAAAAACTAGCAACAACAAATGTTGGCGAGGGTGTGGAGAAAAAGGAACTCTCCTGCACTGCTGGTGGGAGTGCAAACCGGTCCAACCAATACGGAGAGCTGTGTGGAGATTTCTGGACCTACTAAACATAGAGATTCCATATGATTCAGCAATTGCACTCCTAGGTATTTACCCAAAGAACACAGAAACATCAATTCCAAAGAGCACCTGCACCCCTATGTTTATAGCAGCACTGTTTACAATAGCTAAGCTTTGGAAACAGCCCATATGCCCAAAAATAGATGACTGGATCAAGAAGTTGTGGTACATATACACCATGGAATATTACTCAGCATTCAAAAAAGATAAACACATGCAATTTGCAGCAACATGGATGGCGCTGGAAGGGATCATGCTCAGCGAAATAAGCCAGAAAGAAAAAGAAAAATACCGGATGGTCTCACTCATAGCAGGAATCTAGAAAACTTAAATAAGGGACCAGGAAAATGAATAACTATAAGAAAGTAAAAATCAAAATCAACAAAAAACTATGAACCAGAGACACTCTTTGGGGAGCGGGGGGCGGGAGGGGAGGGATTGGGTCAGAATGGGGGGTTGCAATTGTATGGGGAATATAAAAATAAAATTTATTATTAAAAAAAAATGTCTGATATATGCCAGACTACACAACAAAACCTGCTTCATGGACTCCCATTTTATTTTTTTTATTTATTTTTTTTAATAGAGGCATGTTTTTATTTATTTATTTATTTGTTTGTTTGTTTATACATGCACTGGGTACAGTCAGAAGCGCGGGAGGGTAAGAGAATTCACCAGAGCCAGAGCAGGGAGCAGAGCAGGCAGAAAGACCGAAGTACACTGCTGAGGGGAGCAGCGGGCGGCAGGAGAGGCCTGCGCGCCATGTGGGACCCTCTTCCGGTGGCCGGGGAGCAGCCGGGAATCGAACCAGTGCCGCAGAGGCCGCAGGCAGCTTCGCAACCCAGCGCTCAACCACTGCGCCACCGGGGAGGCCCATGGACTCCCATTTTAATGCCATATTTGGCCATTGTGTAAATGCTGTATGTACACACTTTGCTTGTATATTAAAAAAAAAAAAAAAGAGGGCCTCCCTGTGGCGCAAGGGGTTAAGTACCGCATTATGAAGCAATATGCAGCCTCTGTAGCATGAGTTCGATCCCCGGCTGGCCAGGGAGAAACCCACATGGCGCAGCAGACCTCTCCTGTCTCACCCGCTGCTCCCCTCAGCAGTGTATTTCAGTCAATCTGCCTGTTCTGTTCCCTACTCTGTCTTTGGTAGACCTTCTCAACCCCTATCCTGTATCTCCAGCCTGTGCCCCAGCTCTTCTATGCATAAATAAATATATCTTTTAAAAAAAATAGAAAAAAGACAACTCATCCATCCCAGATTAGTGAAATTCAGAATTATTATGACAGAAGAAAGAGAAAAAAATCTTCTGATATAGTTCTTCCAAAACTCCTAAGGGGGCACCAAACTACCTATTTCCTAAGGGCGAGGAGGGTGTGAGGGAAGTCAGTGCTGAGGCAGAGGTCAATCTGTAAGAGTGCTTGGAAGACAGTGAGCTGACCACAAAATGGAGGAGCACAGCAGCTAGCTGGAAGTGACTTCTTTTCTACCTCCTCCCAGATCTTTCCCAGAGACCTACTCTGTCAAGAATATTCAGAATGGGGCCTCCCTGGTGGCGCAGAGGTTGAGCACTGGGTTGCGAAGCTGCCCGCAGCCTCCGCAATGCTGGTTTGATTCCCGGCTGCTCCCCGACCACCGGAAGAGGGTCCCACATGGCACGCAGACCTCTCCTGCCGCCCGCTGCTCCACTCAGCACTGTACTTTGTCAGTCTGTCTGTTCTGTTCCCCGCTCTGGCTCTGGTGAATTCTCTCACCCTCCGGCGCTTTTGACTGTACCCAGTGCTTGTATAAATAAATAAATAAATCTTTAAAAATAAATAAATAAAGGCTTTAAAAAAATATTCAGAATGTTCTGTCTAGGAGTTAGGTTCACTTTGAAAAGTTCTGATTAACTAAAAAATGATGATCTTTGAAAGGTGGAATTTCAGTGGCACTTTGAGAGGAAAGGGGTAAAGCAAAAAGGCCACGTCCACTTCACCTCTGCAAAAGGTCAGCTTTAGCTGTGGAAGTTGGCCGAAGGGCAGGTCCCAGTTACACATGCCCAAAGCCTATCTGTATAGAACAATGCCATCCAGGAGAAAAAGAATGCAGGCCACATATATTTCTAGCAGTGAAGAGTAAAAACAGGTAAAATTAATTTTAGTACATTTTATTTAACCAAAATATTATAAGTTCACCATGTAATCAACGTAAAAAATATTAGAGGCATTTTACATTATTTCTCCAATTTAAGTCTTTGAAACCCAGTGTGTATTTAGCACTTACAGCTCATATTTCAAACGCTTTATAGCCACATGTGGTTGCTGGCTACTATTTAACACAGGGCAAATCTAGAGTACCCCTTGAAAGCAAGGGCACTCATGCCTTGATCTAAGAATCTATCTTCTAGATATAGGAAGGACAGGCTTGGATTTTCCCAAACTACACTGCCTTCAGGACACCACTGGATCCTAAACAGACGTCCCAGGGTAGCTCTAGGCCGGACTAAATCTTCCCCTAACAGAGTGCCAGACAACCTACTACCGCTAGGGGGCACTGTGACCACAGCATCGGGGAGCAGTGGGCTCAGAAGCACTATTTCACTCTAAGCCCCACAACCTTGCCAGGCCTGATTTTGTGGGTGGAGAGATCCAGAAGGGCTCTTTTCAAACAAAACAGTCACAGTTGCTACATGAGGTTCTTGTGAAGCTTACTTGTGTGTAGGCAGTAAATGGGTTTGAGAAGATGCCTGAGCTCTTAAGATTTATTTATTTATTTATACAAGCACTGGGTACAGTCAGAGGCGCAGTCACCAGAGCCAGAGCGGAGAGTAGAACAGGCAGAATAATGAAGTTTGAGAATGTGGGACCCTCCTCTGGTGCCTGCAGAGGCTCTTTTAAAAAAAATTTTTTTTAAGGAGAATGAAATCGTGATAGTAAATCTGATCTAAAACTTTAGGATTCCTTTCTCCTAATGACCTTCATTCAAATGGACCTGTGGTTCAGAAGGAATGGCCACATTGCTTAATATCTTTATTTTTTTTTAATTAATTTTTTGAAAACTTTTTTTTATAGGTTTTTTTTTTTAATAGAGGCATGTTTTATTTATTTATTTGTTTGTTTATACATGCACTGGGTACAGTCAGAAGCGCGGGAGGGTGAGAGAATTCACCAGAGCCAGAGCAGGGAGCAGAGCAGGCAGAAGGACCGAAGCACACTGCTGAGGGAAGCAGCGGGCGGCGGGAGAGGTCTGCGCGCCATGTGGGACCCTCCTCCGGTGGCCGGGGAGCAGCTGGGGATCGAACCGGCACCGCAGAGGTCGCGGGCAGCTTCGCAACCCAGCGCTCAACCGCTGCGCCACCGGGGAGGCCCTGCTTAATATCTTTAAAATGCTCATTAAGGGGCCTCCCCGGTGGCGCAGCGGTCGAGTGCTGGGTTGCGAAGCTGCCCCCAGCTTCTGCAGCGCCGGTTCGATCCTTTGCCGCTGGGCGAGGGTCCCACATGGCGTGCGGACCTCTCCTGCCACCCCCTGCTCCCCTCAGCAGTGTATTTCGTCAGACTGCCTGTTCTGTTCCCTGCTCTGGCTCTGGTGAATTCTCTCACCCTCCCGCGCTTCTGACTACCCAGTGCTTAGATAAATAAAATAAATAAATCTTAAAAAAAAAAATGCTCATTAAGGAAATAGAGGCAGGAAGTCAGAACAGAGATTGGGTTTTCTCTCAGCGGTATCTGTCAAGTGGTAGCAAAGAAGAAGCTGTTTCTTTGGGCTTTTACCATTCTGTTCAGAATGTATTTGTCACTTGGGCAGTCAGGAGAGGCCTATGTCACAAGAGCTGGGTTGGTACCTCTGAGCTGTGACTTTCTCTGGCATCCCCTGACCAACAAACCATTCCACTGCCTCACTGTATGGATGGGGAAACTGAGGCTTGGGTGGCAAAAGGTGATGAGGTGATGGACAGTATCTCCAGGCAAGGTCTGGAATCATAACTGGGAAGCTCATTGTACTTTACCCACTCTTCCACTTCCCAAACTCTTCGGTATCTGGATGCCCCAACCAGCTGCATTCTTCACATTCTTACCACATGGAATAGCCACCAGGGAATACCTGTCCCTGGCCTCCCTCACCTTTATATCCCATATGGCAAACCTTCCCCTCCCTCTTCCTCCAGGGCTATCAACCTGCCCAGTTTTATCCATGCTCACATTTCCACCTTCCACTGACCTCAACACTTCTCAGCTTTACTTAATTATTAGTAAACCTCTCATCTGAAATCACTCAGAAGTAGCAAGCATATAAAAACGTTAAAAGGCAGTCATTATGTGAGGTATCACTAATTTAAGTATCTTAAAAGATAAGTATCTTTAAAGAAGATGAGATTCTAGAAGACTAGGAAAGAAATTTCACAATTTGCTCAAACTGATTTTGAATGGAATGGTCTGAGCAGTTTCATATGAGGCAGTCCCCACAGGCAGAAATCTGCTCGAAGAATCGCTAGGCATGTTGCTGGTGGTAGAGTCATGTACTATATTCACAATCATCTCTCTCTCTTTCTCTCTCTCTCTCTTCTTTTTTTTTTAATTTTTTTTAAAAATATTTATTTATTTATTTGTTTGTTTGTTTATTTATTTATACAAGCTCTGGGTACAGTCAGAAGCGCAGGAGGGTGACAGAATTCACCAGAGCCAGAGTGGGGAACAGAACAGGCAGACTTGAAGAGGTACACTGCTGAGGGGAGCAGCGGGCGGCAGGAGAGGTCTGCGCGCCATGTGGGACCCTCGCCCGGAGGCCGGGGATCGAACCAGTGCTGCAGAGGCCGCGAGCAGCTTCGCAACCCAGCGCTCAACCGCTGTGCCACCGGGGAGGCCCACTCTCTCTCTTCTTTTTACTTAACAAGTAAATATATACATATTTCCTAGCAAATTGTCCTGTCTGGAAAATCTTGATCCTTAAGTAAATAAATAACTACCTTGAACATAAGTCAGTTTCATTTGGAAAGCAACAGCGCATAGAGGCTAAACACTTAGATTAAGGTTAGTCCACAGATAGCAGTGGATCCAAACCAGCTATGTGACCTCTGGTGAGTCACTTAACTCCTCAGAGCCTCAGTTTTCTCTTCTGCAAAATGGAGACAATGGTATTTATCTCATTGGGTTACTATGAGAATTCAAAACAAAAACCATGTAAGGTGCTTTAGTGGCATCATAGGGCAAGCTCCCAGTTAATGGCAGTTGTTATAAAGGGTTCCTTGTCAAAGTTCGAATACTTTCACAAGTCTTGAGAGGGGCCTCACAGGTCATTAGAGCAACAATCTCACTCTAAAAATGAGAGTCATGAGGTTTGGAGAGAGTTCTACAAGTTTCATGTCTGTATCTGCTGCCTCCCAAATCCACAGAAGATCCCTGAAGCCCAGCAATCACCTTCCTATCCATAGTATGAGCATGGGTACTTTGGGGCTCTCACTCCAATACCATCAGAATCTGCTTCGCTAGGAGGGTCCAGTGGAGCTATTCCTGCTCTCAGAGGAGCAGGGTGATGGAGAGGATGGTCTCTGCTGTCACTTATGGACACACTTGTGCTAGGCAACAGCATTAAGCACCTTACAGGGCCCATCTCATCTGCCTCTCACTTCCAGCTTAGGAGGAAGGTATTCTTAGTATCTTCATTTGACCCATAAGGAAACATTCTGTGTCCATCACAGGTTAAATACACACTTGACAGACTTACCCTTTCTCTTCTTTTGTGCAGTACATTTTTTAAAAATATTTATTTATACAAGAACTGGGGTACAGGTTAGAGGCGTGGGAGGGTGAGAGAATTCACCAGAGAGAGCGGGGAGCAGAACAGGCAGACGGACCAAAGACATTGCTGAGGGGAGCAGTGGGTGAGGCAGGAGAGGTCTGCCACGCCATGTGGGTTTCTCCCTGGCTAGCCAAGGATCAAACTCATGCTGCAGAGGCTGCGGACAGCTTCACAGTGCAGCTCTCAACCCGCTGCGCCACCGGGAAGGCCCTACTCTCTTATTGCCTGTATTAATGACCCTTGAGCTCCTTTCCAAAATACTGCTCGGGCATGGAGGCTGGCCCAGTATGAAAAGCTGACCATCCTTGGTACAGGTGGTCACTGAAAGTACTCAGGAGACCTTTCTATATTCTCAGACCCAATCTATGGGCAGGTGGCAGAAACTGCAGTTAAGGGAAACAATCCTGAATTCTCCTCTAAGCTGGCAGATGCAGCACAATGGTATCCAAAAATTGTCATGCTGATGTAAGCTAAAGGTAAGATCTAGTTGATCAGAGAACTCTTATCTAACAAATGAGGACATACCTGGCTTTGTTATGTAATAGTTGGTTTTTCTTGAAAAGTTATATAACAGGATTCTGTAATTCTGAGAATGAGGTCCCAAATATTTTACATTTTTTCCCCCAAGTAATCACAAAAGATAAATAAGGAGAAGTCCAACTGAGGCCTTACCTCAAGTAAGTGCACCACATCCTGCCAGCAAGCAAGTCTGAGCAAAGGGAAAGCAGGTCAGCACCCAAGGGAGCAGTTCCCAAAGTATCTGACAGGCGCCGGGGCATATGATCATGAGTACGACTCCAGAGCCCATGACATGGCCCTGACCCCACAAGAGCCAGGAAATAAAAGTCACTGACATTGACGAGTTGAGTAGAAAAAGATTATGCCTCACTGTACATATCAGCATCTGGAGTCTTCAGAGGTCTTGATGGGAAAGTGGATCACCTGAAAGTCTGGCCTGGCACTAGATCAAGGAACCATGTGGGGTTCAACCCTGCTCTGTCAGCACTCTGGACTGCCTGTACTAGAGGTCAACCTGGGGAAACTAAGAGACACAGCAGAATTGAGAGAGGAGCACAGTGGTTGGAGCCTGTACTCTACTGGGACTTAAGCCACTCCAGGCTCCTGTTCTCACTCTGACCCTCACCCAGGGCAGGTATTTAGTCCCTAAACCTGTTTCTCAACCCTAAAGCAGGAATCATGAGAACATCAGCCTCAGAGTTGTCATAATAAGCAGTAAGTAAAGCATTTGGGCCTAGCACAATGGTTCTCAACTGGGGCAATTTTGCCCCTCCTCCTTCCACAAGACCATGTGGCAGTGTCTAGAGATATTTTTGGTTGTCACAACTAGGAGTGGCGCCCAATAGATAAAGACAGGGAATTCAACTAAACATCCGGTAATATATAGGGCAGCCCCCACAACAGTTATCCAGTCCCAGGTGTCAATAGTGCCAAGATTTAGAAACACACAGGAAGTACTCTGTAAATAGGAACTATCAAATGATCTTTACTATTACGACAATGAAGTTATAGCTCTTTACCCTCAAAGATAACCAGTGTCTGTGATTAAAGTGATGACAGAAAATTCATTACTTACTCTACCTCTTGTAACACTGGGTAACAGATCCATCATTCTGGAGACAGGAAGAGTCTGCTGCTTGGCTGACTGTGAAGAACCCAGTAACTTTGTGAAATAAATAACATAGCAAAGCACAAGAACTGCAGTATAGAAAAGCTGCAAAAAAAAAAAAAAAAAGTTTTGAAATATACTTTTTTTTAAATGAAGTACAGTTTTACATCTTAAATTTTTGGACATTATAGGATTTCTCCCCTCATGTGTAGTCACTAGCTCTCCCACCACCAAAGCACCTAGAGTCCTCTACCACGGTCCCCTGTGCTCTCCTCATCCCTCTCATTCTTTCCTCTGCCCTCCTGGATGCCTCAGATCTATGGTCAGTTTTCAAGGGTTAGTTTTAAAGTTTGTCATTGTCTGACCCTTTATTTGGTTTCTCTATATTCCACATATAAGTGAAACCATCCGGTATTTTTCTTTCTCCTTCTGGTTTATTTTGCTTAGCATAATCCCTTCCAGGTCCATTCATGTTACCACAAATAACATGCTTATCTTTTTTTGAACACTGAGTAGCATTCCACTGTATATATGTACCATATCTTCTTTGTTGTTAATTTTTTTTTTAGATAGATAGAAAGGGGGAGAGAAAGAAAGAATGTATGTGCGCGCGTGAGTGCAAGCAAGGGAGCGTGACGAAAAGTACATCTTCTTGATCCACTCAGCTGTTTTGGGGGCATTTAGGTTGTTTCCCTATCTGGGTTATTATTAAATAGTGCTGCAAAAAGCCTAGGAGGGCAGGTTTCCTTTTAAATTAGTATTTCCTTTTGAATTAGTGTTCTTTGGGTAGATTCCTAGCAGTGGAATTGCTGGGTTGTATGGTAAATTACACTGTTTTAATATAGGCATAATTAATACTTGCCTATAAATTTGACCTCCAAGGCCAATCAAGAAATAGAATTGTTTTAATTAACTGCACCTTCTATTCAGCAACACCTCACCCTCTGGAAAACAGCAGCACTTTTTAAGGCCAGCTCCACTGTAGCATCTCTGGGGAAAGTATTGTACATACTTCATCTGACGGGAGCACAGAAGTTCTTCAGGGCAGGCAGAACAGAATTTCCATGACAGATATTTATTAGTACAGTCACCACCAAAGTGTCAGATATGATCTCAAAAGATTCATGTTTGGCCAAAGGATCGACTTTTCCACCTAGAACAGCACCCTGTGAGGATCCATGTGTCCCCGCTGGGCTAATCTAACATCCAGGGACTGCCATCTAGCACTGGGGATTTTCCATAAACCCCGGAAACCTGTGACCTTATGATTACAAAGCAGAACTGAGCTGCTTGCTCCCTCCTCTCTGGCCAGTGTATGGGCAGGGCAAGAGCTACTACAGGATAGAGAAGGAAAGGGTGTGGTGACATGAGGACCCCTCCCTCCACCCCACTGCGACAAAAGGATGGCTTCTGGCCAAAAGCAGCAGTCTGGAGGTTTGTGTGCAGGTTGAAGAGGTGTATTCACATCTGTTCACAAACTCCGTTCGACCATCTTTCCCCTGAGAACAGAGAGCACACAATTTCAACAACAGGACCTACAATGCCCAACCTGGAAACACCCAGCTGCTCCTGAAATGAAGGCACAGAGCAAGGAGTAAGAGGACTCTCAGTTTAGCAGGTTTGGGCTCCTCTGCTCTCCACACCCAAGCATGCTTGGGGACAGAGTCCACCGTCCACATCTTTCTTCTTTCCTGCCTCAAACAGAGCAGCACTGCTGTGAGTCACACCACTTGAGGCCAACATCCTCTGTGACAAGTAGCCTCCTCCAGGCCCCCTTCTCCACCTCTGTTCATCTTCTCAGTCACCAGAGCCAGGGAAAATAGTAAGACCCTGCGGGTAGTTTTCACAAAGTATTCTAATACTTGGTTCACTAACATAACATGGACAATTTTAACCATTTTAAAGCATACAATTCAGTAGTTTTTAGTGTATTCACAATGTTCTACAAACACCTCCACCACTTTCGATTCCAAAACATTTTCACCATTCCAAAAGGAAACTATATCCATTAAGCAGTCACTCTCCATTCCCTGGCCACCAGTAATCTGCTTTGTGTCTCTGTGGACTTACTTGTTCTAGACTTTACATAATCGTGGAATTATACAATACACGGTGTTCAATATCTCAGTATTACATTTTCAAAGTTCATCTGTGCTGTCACACATAATGGTATTTCATTTTATGGCTGGATAATATCTTATTGTATAGATATACCACACAATTTGTCTATTCATCAGTTGATGGATATTTAGGTTGTTTCTGCTTTTTGGCTATTGTTAATAGTGTTATTATGAAAATCCATGTACAAGTTTTTGTTTGAACACCTGTTTTCAATTCTTTTGGTTATATACCCAGGAGTAGAACTGCTGGAAGATATGGCAGTTCTATGCTTAAATTCCTAAGGGACTGTCAAAGTGTCTTCCACAGGGGCTACACAATTTGACCTTCCTAGCAGCAGTATATGAGGGCTCTAATTTCTCCATATCCTTGCTAATACTTGTTATTTTGTTATTTATTTATTTTTTATAATGATAGTCATTTTAATGAGTAGCAGCAATATTTCATTATGGTTCTAGTCTACATTTGTCTAGTGACTAATGATATGTTGAGCAACTTTTCTCATACTTATTGATCATTTATTTGTATATCTTCTTTGGAGAGACATCTATTCAAGTTCTTTACCTACTGTTTAATTGGGTGGTTTGTCTTTCTGTTGTTGAAATTTAAGAGTTCTTTGTATATTCTAGAGTGATCCTTTAATTTGACATATGGGGCCTCCCCGGTGGCGCAGCAGTTGAGCGCTGGGCTGTGAAGATGCTCGCAGCCTCTGCAGCGTCAGTTCGATCCCGGCTGCCGGTGAGGGTCCCATATGGCCCGCAGACCTCTTCTGCTGCTCCCGCTGCTCCCCTCAGTAGTGTGTTTCATCAGTCTTCCTGTTCTGTTCCTGACTCTGGTGAATTCTCTCACCCTCCCGCGCTTCTGACTGTACCCAGTGCTTGTATAAATAAATAAATAAATCTTTAAAAAAAAAAACTTGACATATGATGCCGTGACCCTGGAGGGATGCTGGACAAAGGGGAATCCCAGAGCCTTGGGTGGGGCTCACCTGCTATTATAAGGTGCTGTTGGCTCTGAGACCTCTCACACAGACAGAGAATGTACCAGAGAGAAATGCTCTCAGAAGTCTTATGACAAGGAAGCAAATAAACTCAGAACTGCCCTTGCTGACCCATGCCATATGACATATCCGGGGGTGGGAGCTATAATAATCAGAAAGGCATAATAATGAAAGTGCCTTTTCCAGGAAGAGACAACCAATAACTATGGTCCTTGTGTCCTATTAAGAAGAGTGTATCAAAAACACTGATGAATGCTGAGAACTATAATCCCAGATCTAAAAAGTATGTAAAAATAATTAACAAATAACTATCCTGAAATACTTTATTTTGTAATTTTATATCTAGCTTTTGTATTTCACAAAAATATTTGAAGTTTTTCCCTAGGGCACAGGAAAGATTTTCACATAAATTATTACTAAGAATTTTAAGTTGTCTTCCCATACATTAAGAACAATTACAAACCACATTGTATCTTAAGATGCTCTGCTAACTATCTGCTCTTAGGTTTCATTTTTAAAATTAGCATTTGTATGCTAGTTATATTTTTATTAGAACTAGAAATATGAACCAGAACTAGAAGGAAATGAAAGATGGGAATGAAGTCAAAACTGCCAAAACTGAAACTGTAACTGAAAAACACTCGATCCATGCCCTCTGAATTATGTGAAATTTTAATCTAAGTTTAAAACAGGCCTGACAGAGTTTCCTCCTATTCTGATACAACTAATTGAAATCCAGGAAAAATAACACACATGCAACTTGAATCCCACCCCACCCCCTCACTGCCTTTTTTTCATTCCTCCATAAGACTATCAGACAATCAAAGATCAGTTAGATACTGGCTTGCCCACAGAATGTCTAAAAGAGTTTTTATGTCTGACAATGAGACTGAGATGTGGCCCTCAGCAGGGTCACCAGTGGAGACATCAATGGTGTCAAGGGCATGGAGCAGGATGAACAAGGCAGCCAGTGGAGAAGCAGGGCCAAGACCATCTTTCTAGAGCTTCCAGCCTATCCTGCATGCAAGATACTACAAATGAAATTTGGGTAGCAATGGGAACAAGAAGAAAGACCAAGTGAAGAAACATTATATGAAAGTTAAAAGTCCTAACTGAGGGCCTCCCCGGTGGTGCAGCAGGTTGAGCACAGAGCTGTGAAGCTGTCCGCTGCCTCTGCAGTGCAGGTTTGATTCCCGGCCAGCCAGGGAGAAACCCACATGGTGTGGAAGACCTCCCCTGCCTCGCCCGCTGCTCTCCTCAGCAGTGTCTTTGGTCCATCTGCCTGTTCTGCTCCCCACTCTTTCTCTGGTCAATTCTCTCACCCTTCCATGCATCTGACCTGTACCCCAGTTCTCGTATAAATAAATAAAATCTTTTAAAAAAAAGAAGTCATAACTGACCTGGGCCAGAGAGAAAATGTAGAGTCCCCAGTGAGGCAACCATAGCACAAGAAAAGCTGTCAGGAAACTCTTGAGGATCACTGACAGGCTCTCAGCAATCACCTGCAAACATGTGGTGAACAGTGCACTTTAAAAACATTGCTAAAGGGCCTCCCTGCTGGCGCAAGGGTTAAGTCTCAGCACTATGAAGCTATCAGCAGCCACTGCAGTACCAGTTGGATCCAGGCCAGGGAGCTGACTCACATGGCACAGCAGACCTCTCCTGTCTCACCCACTGCTCCCCTCAGCAGTGTATTTCAGTAAATCTGCCTGTTCTGCTCCCCACTCTGTCTCTGGTGAATCCTCTCACGCCCCACACCTCTGGCTTACACCCCAGTTCTTTGTATACATAAATAAATAAATCTTTAAAAAAAAAAAAAACAAAACTAAAGAAGCCAAGGAATGACAAATAGAGAGGGGTTACTGGGGTGGGGGTGAGCCACATATTTGGACATAGTGTCAGTGAAGTTCTACTTGGGTTGGGTGGTAGGTTCTCTGATCATCAGTCTGCTATCATGCTGCAGGGATTATGTAGATGTTATACTTCTTTTTTGTATAAATCAAATTATATATTTTAAAAGATGAAAAGTTATCAGCATACCATGAAGTAAATCATTAGAAAGAGTCAGAAAAAGTAGCCTTCTTAAATTATTTAAACAATTTCCAGATTAGGCCTCCCCGGTGGCGCAGCGGTTGAGCGCTGGGTTGCGAAGCTGCCCGCAGCCTCTGCAGCACCGGTTCAATCCCGGCCACCGAGGAGGGTCCCACATGGCGCACAGACCTCTCCTGCCGCCCACTGCTCCCCTCAGCAGTGTACTTAGGTCCTTCTGCCTGCTCTGCTCCCCGCTCTGGCTCTGGTGAATTCTCTCACCCTCCCACGCTTCTGCCTGTACCCAGTGCATATATAAACAAACAAACAAATAAATGAATGAATGAAAATACATGCCTCTTTAAAAAAAAAAAAAAAAAAAAAAAAAATAAACAATTTCCAGATTAGCAAAACTTTTTCATTAATAGAACAGCAGAAGTAAACTTTAGCCCACTTCATCTGACAAATCTTAAGTGAATGAACTAAACTGACCATGTTACCTCTTTCCAAATACCTTTTTAGATGTAGGTTTGAAAAATCATTCTCTTTTATAAAAGCATTTCTTGAAAACACTCTTTCCCTTATTCTTCCCATTTGCCATTCACAGCAGAAGGGAAACTGACCTTCAGTTTGACAAACATATGTGCTTGTGCCAAGACCCAGAAGGGCTCTCCCAGAAGTTCCACCACTGCTGAGAGACCGAACACCACCACTCCAGTTCCATAATGGGGGACGACATTAGAATTAGGCACCTCGAGCAACTGTAACCAGACCCAGCCCAGGAAAAAGGACCAAAACACACCCAGGGGGACACTAGAAAAGTAAAAAAAAAGAAAGAAAAGTTTTTTTTAAGATACTAAATATAAAAATAAATATATATTAAAATAGTAACAGAAAAAATAGTCATAATAAACATTGCTATCATGTATTAAGGCATTTACTACATGCCAGGCACTATGATTCACTCCTTTATCTCAATGATCCTCCATTATTATCCCTATTTAAGAGATGAGAAAACTAAGGCTGACGGGTAATGGATAATTTGGCCAAGGTCATGAACATTAATGAAGGCAGAAGCAGGACCGTTCCTGACCTAGCTTTAAAGCCCTCACTCCTAGCCACTGTGTTATACTGACTTGATAAACAGATTCCAGAAAGTACGTGCCTGATGTCTGCACTTAGAATAACTGAATGATGGTACATTGCTGGTTCTTGCACCCCAAATAACCAATAGTCCAATGCACAGTATCCCTTTATATGTGTACCATAGAGACCTAAATGATGGTAGTCATTTCCCTAATAAAATGAACACCTACCAGCCCTTATGATAGTCATTTCCACGAGGCAATAAGGAGTTGTGCAAAGACAGCATTGGGAAAAAACCTCAACCACCAGCTCCCTGCAGGAATCTAATTGCAGAAAAGCCATTATAATTTTTAGCTGATGTACTCAGTCTTCAAGAACATTCTAAAAGTTCAGAACTGAAATCAACATAACAAAATTGAAGAAATACATAATGAAACCCCTAAAAGGCTTTCAAAAAATACTAAGACTAAGTGGTTGCTAAAAGCACAGAAAATACTACAGGGGGGAATATTAGGAATAAAAAGATGGCACAATCCCAGTGGAGACCAGAGTGGTTATCAGGAACAGCGGAAACAATCCGCTGGATAAAACAGGGCTAGAAAGCTGGCTCAGAACCCCTACCTGAACCCTCCTCCCAACTTCCAGTCATCCAGAGAGAAAACTAGCCAAGAAGCTGCTCCTGAACAGAAGCTCTCCCTTCCTGATCCAAACCAAGGCTCCAGAAACCCATTGCAAAACCAAAACTAGAGAACTGAGCTTTAGGCTACACCTCAGCCATTTAGCTTGCAACGCTTACTACACTTGCTTTTGTGCAACAGTCTCCTAGCAAAGCACAGCTCACCTTAGCCACAGGAGGTTGAGGGTTTGACTCCAGTCTCGCTGGGCACTTCCACTCAGACATGCCCTGCGGAAGGCCTCTCTGGCCAGGAATATGGTGGTGGAGTAAAGCAGCGTCAGCCTATAAAGGAAAAAAGCAGAATTGATAGAAATTCTAGTGTTTTTCATAGCGAGAATGGCTAAGTTTTTGCCAGCAACAGGCCAGAAACAAAGTCTCAATCATAAATCACTGGTGGTGATGCAGGGGTTGGGCTTTTATAGGACCCCCCACTAGGCTGATTGACCTGAACAACACTTTGGAACCAAACGAGAGACATCTAAGTACGTGCCTACTGAATGTTACTCTGTTACAGAAACTGCCACGGTGGCCCTCGTGACTGTCAGCATGAGATGTGGCCCCACACAGCAAGGGGACCTCTTGGTCACCCTGAGAAACTGGTGACCCAATGGCCCTAGTAATAGAAGCTGACAATACGGCTGCAGTCACTACAAGGCTGCTACAGTCCAGGTTGCTGTACACCTCCAAGGTGGGCAGCACCAAGGTGGCCCTTCCTACAATTCAGTGAGAAGCGCTAAGGTTTCCTTTCCTCACAGGCAGACAAAACCAGAGTGAGGATTGCCCAGGGCTACAGTCTCTGAGGTTGTCCAAGGATCATCCAGTGATTCTGTGCAACACTGTGAATGAGGAGCTTGAACCACACATTTAGCAGGTGAGGAAGACCAGATAAGGACTGCAAAAGTAAGGACCTGTCAATCTGGGAGAGATGGGCTGGGCAAGGACCCAAAGTGCTTTAAAGTCTGAGTACCTAAGAGGATTTGGTTCTCTTCCTTCCTCCTTTTAAAACAGTATTTCTAAAAGTATGGTCCCTACTTCAAAATCACCAGAGGAACGCACCAAAGTGCAGAGTCCTGGGTCCCTCCTCAACCTTACCTAGTGCAAAGCTCTCAGATGATTCCTTTGCATATCAAAATGTGAGTCCCTCACTGAGCTCCAAGAACAGAGCCAAGTGCATATGTTTGGTGTGAAGTTGATGTGATGGAACATACTGTCTTGTTTATCAGGACATGAGGAGATACCTGAGCTATTCTGAGCACTCACAACCCTCCATATACTTGTGTGTTGTTTGTGAATACAAAGTAAGTGTAGGTGTACTTGAACAGAAGAGACAAGAGTAAAAAACAAACCATGTCTAAAAGACAAAGCAAATCAGCTTTCTAAGAGCCACTAAGGCACTAATGACAAGAACTCAAGCTCTCATCCCCACCACCATTTTCCAATTATAAAAGTCACAGAGGGGGAAGGAAGGTGGCTGTTCCAGCCCTGTAATTATGAAGCACATCCTCACGAACTGCAGAATTCTTGCTTCCTTTGCTGTCAGCAGGACAAGAACACAGGATTATACCTGAGACAGGGCTGGCAATGAATTACTCCCACTCCTCTCCTGGGCTCTAAGAGCAGGCAAACCGGAACAGCTGACAGAGAAATGTGCATTTGAAGGCTGCTAATGGAAAACACTCCATGGGTCCATTAAAAGCAGCATCGCCAGCTCATCCTCCCCCACCCGGCACACTCCTCCCTTAGCCCACTGTTCAACAGTTTCTGGTAAAGGCCCTTGCTTCTTGAATCTGAGGGTGACACACAGGTACAGAATTTGGAGAAAACCTGACCAGGGATGTGAGCTGTGGACTATGCCAGGCACCAGCCCTTCTTACCTTACATTCACTATGCCAACGATTTCCTTTGACAGGAAGCGAAGAATAAATGCATTCAAGACAAAGGTGATCAATCGAAATAACACCTACAGATAAAGAAAAATGCATAGGAATAAATTATGTCAGGAATGTTTGCTGTGCTGATATGAAAACAATGTGACTGCCTCCCTAATGAGATGCAATGGCACACAGCAGCTCTGCCCGTGAGACTCTCTAACACACTCAACCTGTCTGCACTTCTTGTGCAGTTTCATTCCTCAGGGTCTCTCAGCACTCCTGTCCAGTGGTCAAAGAACCCAGGAAGACCCTTGGCGGTCTCCCTAGCTTATTGATTCAGTGATTTTCTTTAAGTTTAACGTCAGGCATTCCAAAGAGGCAAAAAGAATTCTAGTTAGTGCTTCACAGTGCCCCTCCCTTCAGCTTGTTCAGAAATGGTACACATATAGCAAGCAGGATCTGCTGGGTTATTGGACTCACTAGAAATTAGGGTCTAATTTCTCTTTCTTTTTCTCCCTAGTAGTATCTGGGGACCACAATAATGACATTTAATCTCTTTCAACTTCAATTTTATCAACTAGGAAGCAGAAAGGGCCGCATTTGTTTACTGAATATTTACCAATTTCTAGAGAGGAGCTGCAATACCTTTTCAACAAATGCGGTAATGAGATAATGTAAACTAGGGGGAAATGAAGACAGAGTCCAGCTATTGCCATTTGAAAGGGCTGTATCATGAGACTTCCAAACCCATCAATTCAAGAAAACCAAATGAGCAAAGCATTCTTCCCATGAGACAGAGAAGAATGGGTTGCAGATAAATGAAGTTGCTAAATGGGGATGCTGGCTGGGGTGCAAGCCTCATCTCCACCTGCATTCTAGCAGCACCAAGGTGTAACTTTAGCGCACTCCAGAGCATATGACAAATCATTCTACGTCAAGCACTCTCAAAATTATCCATGAATAGCTGCAGTCTGGAAGATTCAATCAAAGTATTCCAATGGACTACTTTGGACTGAAAATCTCCGGGGGGAAAAATGCATGACTGTAAAAGGAGGGTATAGTTTAGCACTGTCCAGGAGTGTCACGGAGCAGTTTTGGGTTCTCCAAAACCAAGGTATCACAATCTTAACCTTTTTGGTTTCAAAAGTGACCTATGGAGAGTCTGATGAAAGTTCTGTAGCTCTCTTTAGAAACATACAAATACATACACACATACACACCAAATTCTGTCCTCCATCTTAGAAGCTGGAAGTTTAACTCATGGAGCCCTTAATGGAAAAAGCACTCAGCTGAGGGTCTCAACTCACCATTTAACTATGAGGTCTATTATGCTCTAATTTTTATAAGCCTCCATTTCCTCCTCTATCAAATGAGATTACTTATTTCATACAATTGATAAAAATGATCAAATGAGACTGAAGGTAAAAGCACTTTTGAAAGATGCATATACATAAAAGGCATTAATACTTTCACTGTAGGTGGTTCAGAGTTAAGACTGAGTAAGCTCTCAAATTCTTGCAGAACACAATGTATCTGCAGCGCTACTTCAAGTGTGGGCACTGTGATCTGAGAAAGGATACAGGCCTGAATTTAAACACTAAAGAATCCTAAAGATGATGGCTATTTTTACAAAATCACATGCACACACTTATGTTAACTTCTAAGTTATCACTGTCTAAGAAATGTACTGACTTCTGACTCAGGCTAAATTCATATCTCCTAATTTGTGTGAACAAAGATTTGAGCTAATGAAGCTCTAGGTTGCTAATGCTACCCACTATTAGGCAAACCTGGGTTCCAGACCACTGCAAAAAAGTGAATATTGCAATAAAGCCAGTCAAACAAATATTTTAGTTTCCCATACATATAAAAGTTATGTTTAGGGGCCTCCCTGGTGGCGCAAGGGGTTAAATACCACACTATGAAGCAATTCGCAGCCGCTGCAGCATGAGTTCGATCCCCGGCCGGCCAGGGAGCAACCCACATGGCGAAGCAGACCTCTCCTGTCTTGCCCGCTGCTCCCCTCAGCAGTGTATTTCAGTCAGTCTGCCTGTTCTGTTCCCCACTCTGTCTCTGCGTGAATCCTCTTACCGCCAACCCCGCATCTCTGGCCTGTACCCCAGCTCTTGTATGCATAAATAAATAAATCTTTAAAAAAAAAGTTATGTTTATACTATACTGTAGTGCATTAGGCAGGCAATAGCATTACATCTAAAAACAAAACTGCAATGTACATACCTTAATTTAAAAATACTTTATTGACAAAACATGCTAACCATCATGAGTCTTCAGCAAGTCATAATCTTTTTACTGGCAGAAGGTTACAACAGTAACATGAAAGATCACTGATCACAGCTCACTATAACAGATATAATAATGTTTTAAATTTTGTGAGAATTACCAAAATGTGACAGAGACACAAAGTGAGCACATTCTATTGGGAAAAAATGGCATCAAGAGACCTACTTGACACAGGGTTGCCACAACCTTCAATTTGTAAAATACAAACAATGCAGTATCTGCAAAGAGCAATAAAAAGCAGTAAATAAGGAATGCCTATATTTGTTCACACAGTGGAGCAGCAGTCTTCATTTAACTTTGCAAAGGACTTTATAGTTCAGAAATAACTCTTTCACATCTGTTAATGACTTGATCCTTAAAAGCAACCAAATAAATGCACAGGAAGCAAGGACAACTCAGAGCAAAGTGATTTGCTCTATATCACACAGCAACAAAATGACCTATCTTGATCTTATGAGCAGCCTAGTCCATTGTGTTTTCTACTATGACTTGTTTTTTTATGAAACCAGAGTAATGTTATTATCAAAGGTCAATCAATAATGTAGGTAAAGCACTGAATTCAAGCAGTTATTTGATTAACATGAAATAGGAAAAAAAAGATAAAAAAAGTAAATTAGGGTTTACCTAATTAAGGTCTAGGTGAATGTCTGTAAAGCACAAATCTTGTGGAAAGCTTGTCTACAAACTTTACATAGATTATCTCATTTCATCCCCACAAAAGAAAAATCTTTAAAAAAATCTTTATTACAATAATAAAAACCTTTATTACCAAAATAAAAATACCAAAAAAAAAGCATTGAGTACATATAATGTGCTAGGCACTTAACTGGCATTTCATCTAATTTTTCTAATAACCTTGTGGGGTTGTACTATTGTTCTCATTTAAGATGAAGAAACTTATGCTGAGAAGTCAAGCAACTTTTCCAAGTTCGGTCTCTAACAGGTGACAAGGTCCAAACTTAAGCCTAATCCCTTCTGGTTCCTTCTCCTAACTTCCATGAAAACACTAAATTAAAGGCGAGGGCAGATAGAGGACATCTGTGAAGATGGGTTGAATGGCTCAGGAGTGAGACACAGAAGAATTAAAACACTTGACTAAGAATGACCAGTTCCGAGGGTTAAAAGACTCTTTAGCTGCTGTTTGGACCAACTGGCATGTACTATATCTGACAGATGATGCAAACCAGGACAAGAAGGGGAGGTGATTTGTCCAAGTCACATAGCCAGAAGGAAGATGCAGTTAACATTTACTAAGTGTACACTAAGAGTCAGGTACTGTGGTAAGTGCAATTATCTCGATGACCCCAATATAGCCTCACCATAACATCATGAGCTAGATAATATTATCATCCCCATTTAATTAATGAGGAACTGAAGTCTAGGTGAAGTTGCTTGTCCCAGGTCATGCAGCAAGCACATGGTAGAACCAGGAAGCCAATCTCGGACTGCCTAAGTCCAGGTATCTGGTTCCTGGCTATAGCATATCATCCCTCTGAAGTCAGAATTTAAAGGCGTTTGAGGGTCCGGGGTGGATACGGAGAAAATGAACTCGCCGTAAAAAAGATCAGATTCTAAAGCACCAAAGGCACCCCTGTCACCTGATCTAACCATGTCTTAACTGCCATATGGCAATTACAATGCTCAGAAAGAAAGTGGTTTGCAGTTTCCTAGTCGGGACACCGAACGCTAGCTCCCAACTTGGGGTTCCGGCATGCCCTCTTCGCCACCACCGCTTCCTGTTGAACCCCTCCGTGGTGGGGGTCCAGGCCAGAAGTGGGTCAGGCCCAGGGCGGGTTCTCCGGGGCCCCAGGGCCACCTCCCCGCAAATCCCGGTTGTCAGACGGACTGGAGCCTGCCGGGCAGAGAGTACCTGCAGGAGCAGACCAGAGGAGGCAAGCCGGGCCGCCTGGCCCAGAACCTCTTGGCTGCCCATAGTCTCGGCACCGGGTCTCAGTCACCAGGAAACGCCACCGCCCTCTGACTTTGTCGCGAGAAGATTACGTCACTTGGATGTTCGCTTCCTGATTGGCGATCTTGCACAGCAGAGGCGGGGCAACCGCTTTAAGTGGGGCCGGTGGGTTACGTCAGTGTCCCAGCGCCACTACATTCCCTTTCTTTGTTATCTTCTGGGCCCGTCCCTCCCTATCCCAAATAAGTTAAACACTGTGACCAGAACGAAGAAACGCAGTTAAAGTAACCGAAGCCCTTTCTGAGGCCTCAGCCTAAAAACCAGGAAATAATAACTATCTTGGCCTCATCTGCCAAAAAAGCTAAAGAACTCATTCGTTAACTCAAGATTCTTACCGTTTGACTTTCACTTACAAAACCGCAGACGGAGATCCCTGAGTTAGGCTGGCAGGAATTGTCCCCATTTTACAGAGGGAAAACTAGGGTTAAAACGTTAAAGACCGCATTTTTCACGTGTGGCTTTGTGTAATCCTCAGGCTGAGAATCGAGTCCTATTGTCAAAGATAAGACTCGGAGTTATGAAGTGACTTGTTCAAATCTACACAATGTATACCTGGGTGGTGTGAACCCCAGGCTCTTTATCTTAAATTTGCCATAAAACGCCCAATATATATAATCAGCTGTTCTGTTGGTGTTTTTATTATCTACTGTGCAGACAGAGGAAGCCCAATTTTTCTCAATCTCTTTTAGGTCCTCTGTGATTTGATCCCTGCCAATCTTCTCAACCACCTATCATTCCATCATTGTCCTTTTCCAACAAAGTCTAGCCTCTAGCCTTTGGGAGCTCTTACCATCCCTCAAACAGACCCTTTCTCATTGAACTTTGCTCCTCCCACCAAAGTGCCATCCCTGATGGTACTCCCTATGTTGTCCCAGGCCACTCTCTCCTGACTTCTGAGTTACAACAGTCAGTACCTGCTATGGACTAAATGTGTCCTCTCCAAATTCAGATGGTGAAACCCCAGTCTCCAATGTGATGGTATTTGGAAGTGGAGTATTTGGGAAGTGATTAAATCATGAAAGTGGAAGCTTTATGAATGGGATTTCCACCCATATAAGAAGGGAGGAGAGAGGGGAATTTTCTACCATGTGAGGATATAACAAGAAGACAGCTGTCTGCAAAGAAGGAAGAGGGCTCTCATTAGGAACAGAATCAGCCCACACTTGATCTTGGACTTCACAGGCTCCAGAACTGTGAGAAGTAAATTTTGTTGTTTTAGCCACCCTGTTTGAGGTATTCTGTTACAGTAGCCCAGGCTAAGACTGCATCTCTAAAGCACTTTGTAACCCTTTATAGATCTTAACAAAGTCTGCTTTGCTGTGAAGAGACTAGAGTAAGTGCCTCTGTTTAAGCAGTCCTTGAACTCCAAGAATTCAGGAATACAACCCACCTTGTTTTGCTTCTACAGCAGTGACAGAGAATATTCCTAGGACTCTCATAAATGCCTCCTGTCTGGTTACTGCTGCTGGAATCAAACTAAGGAGCTCAAGGCCTGTGTGCTACCACCCCTCCCATCCCCCATCTTGCCAGATTCACCAAGCTCTGTCATCCAGCAGGGGCTCAGAATGTGAACTTTCTGCCAGACAGACCTGTCCTAAATCCTCATTCTGCTGCTTACTTACCAACCAGGTGGCCTCTGTACGTTCACCTATTAAATAGGAGATAACATCTGTCCATCTGCCCTGTGGGAGCAGTCATAAGGATTAAGGCAGACAAAAGTTTGACCTTCAAGGGGCTCAAATTCTAGTTGAATGGAGAAGAAAGAAAGAAAAAAACTAACAAACAATATTTTTCACATAGCAATGAGTGCTTTGAAAGAATGAAACCAAGTAAGGTAAGAGGCTCTTGGAGGGGAAGGAGGCATGCTGTTATGGAATGCAGTGCAAACTGGGCACCCACCTGGGAGATGAATGTAACTGGAGAGGAGAGCAAAGTGCTGGAGGGTCAAGGTATTCAGCTGAATGAGGGGATGCCCAAGGCCTTGACCTGGGCAGCCTGCCAAACTCCCTGGATCTTGTGCTGCCGGGCAAGGTATTTTCCTGCTCCCTTATCCCCAGCCAAGCAGCTATCTCCTCTGTAGCTTCCCTGTAGCAAAACCAGTCAAGTGCTTTTCATGTCCACACATTCCTAATCCTGGCCATCCAGGTGGGCTGGTCTGGGAGGGACAAGGGAATCATTTCCCTGGGGACAAAGAAACCAAAGGAGAATTGCTCCAAGCTAAGTCCAAAGGGCAAGGTCTCTCAGGAGTCCAGGGTACACCCAGGGGTCTCTGGGAAAGACATCAGGGGCCTTTTTCTCTCAGTCTGGATGTTAGCACTTAGCAAGGAGAGACTCAACAGGCGCTTTGTGCTCATAGTCATGTTGGGGGCTGGGGTGGGTTGGGGAGAAGAAACTGTGATGAAAGTCAAGGAGCACTGACCACTGACTCCATCAGGGACCTGTCTGAGCACTGTACAGGGAGGTATTAATCCTTTCAATGGCCCTGGAAGTCAGTAGTACAGATGAGGAAACTGAGGCCCAGAGATGTTAAGTAATTTACCCAAGACCATTCAGCTAGGGAGTGGTCAAGCTGGTACTTGAATCCAGGTCCTTTCTGACTCCAAATGGATGAAGAGTAATGTACCTGCCCTCAAAAAGTTTCTGGTCCAGAAGGAGACCTAAGAATTCCCATATCTGAATCCCAGAGAACTTAGGTCACATTGGGGGGGGGGTGGACTTTAGCAAGGCTGCTGCAGTGGTTGAGCTTCCCCCACTTCCATGCTGAGCCTCTCCAAAGACCTCCCCTCTGTAAGAGGTATTGGCACGAACTGGGCATGGCACACTCTGTGGTCTTGTGCGGAGGGCTGAGCTGCATGCAGTCCTTTTTTTTTTTTTTTAAAGATTTATTTATTAATGCATAGAAGAGCTGGGGTACAGGCCAGAGGTGTGGGGGGTGAGAGGATTCACCAGAGACAGAGTGGGGAACAGAACAGGCAGATTGACCAAAGTACACTGCTGAAGGGAGCAACAGGTGAGACAGAATAGGTCTGCTACGCCATGTGGGTTGTTCCCTGGCCGGGATCGAACTCATGCTACAGTGGCTGCGGACAGCTTCATAAGTTGCATCTTAACCCCTTGCATCATCAGGGAGGCCCTGCATACAGTCATTTAGCATACTGTCGACTATTGTATGGCCTGCAACTAAGAAGAGTTTTCATATTTTTAAATAATTGGGGAGGAAAATCAAGAGAAGAATATTTCATGGCACATGAAAATTACATGAAATTCAAATTCCAGCGTCTATAAAGTTTTATCAAAACACAGTCACATCCACCCATTTGTTTGCATATTGTCTACAGCTACTATGTAGCTATGACAAGCTGAAAATATTTACTGCCTAATCTTTTACATAAAAAATTTGCTAATCCCAGGTGATCTCCATTGACTCCACGGATGAAAGACTAGGAAGGGAAGGAAGACAAATAAGAGTTCTTTACTGGAGTTCACCTGGTTTGGGGAGCAAGTGATCCCTGGAGAACACAGACTGTAATTGGTGATCACTGAAGGAGCTGTTTCCCCAGGCTGTCCCCTCCCTCCTGCCTTCTGGGCCAATTGGCCTCCCTGCCAGGGAAAACTGACCCGAGCCAGCTATTTTATTACAAAGCTGGAGGGAGTGCCAGGGTTGACACCAATCCAATTAGGCTCCCAGGGCAGCAGGGCAGGGAGAGGAGGCTACCAGAGGGCGGGGAGGCAGGGTGGAAGCTTTGGCAGGGAGGGCCTTGGATCAGCTGGGTAGAGGTTTAGCTCTAGACTTGGTCCCATACACTAGCCACTAGGTGGCAGGGCGTCTTGGGCGAGGGCCCTGTCCTGCCAAGGTTTCTTTGAAGCCCAGAAGAACCTAAAGACTCTGCCCCTCACTCAGAAGTCCCTGGGTGTGAGAATGCCACTGTCTACTAGTGGTACACTTGTGTGGAGCCCGCACTGCTCCTTATACCCCACTTTCATGATCTCACCTTACTCCTACAGCAGCCCCAGCAGGCAGGTACCATTTTCATCTACATTTTACAGACCAGGAAACTGAGTCTCAGCAAAGTTAAAAGATCTGCCTAAGGCTAGCAAATGGTACCAGAATTTACACCTAGCAGTCTGACTTTTATTTATTTATTTTTTAAAGATTTATTTTATTTTTATGCATACAAGAGTTGGGGTACTGGCCAGAGGTGCGGGGGTGGGAGGAAGAGGAGAGCGTTCACCAGAGATAAGAGTGGGGAACAGAACAGGTAGATTGACTGAAATACACTGCTGAGGGGAGCAGCGGGCAAGTCAGAAGAGGTCTCCTGCGCCATGTGTGTTGCTCCCTGGGGGGAGCAAAACTCGTGGGATTGAACTTGTGCTGCAGTGGCTGTGGCCAGCTTCACAGGTTGTGTCTCAACCCCTTGCACCATGTGGGAGGCCCAAGCAGTGTGACTTGTAGACCCTGAGTCAGGACTAAACCAGAATGCTTATTGTTAATGCTGATTCCTAGGCTCCACCTCAGCAGTTCTGCTGCAGGAAGGTTGAGGGACCTAGTAATATGCATTAACCAGCACTCTGTATGGTTCTGATACAGTGGACCAATCCCTGAGAAGCACTGCCTAAAAGCAGACCTTCAGGCACCTTGGAGAAGCTGCCTCCTGTGGACTGGGAGAGTGTCTGCTTAAGGCAACAAAGCAAGTTCTGAGATCTGCCCTCAATTTGTCCAACCCTCAAGGGGTCTTGCTCTTGGGATTGGGCCTTGCATCAGTGGTCAGGGCAGCAGGGGCTGGAAGTGGTGCCTGTGTGAGGGTCTTGGGGAAATTCTATTCTGTGTCAGGAAGGGTATACAGCATGGCCTCGGGTCCTGGGGCCTACCCATGATTTGGGAGTTAGTAGGCATTGATTTGTGCAGAAATAAGAGAGTGACCCTCTATGTGCACACCTCAGCTTGGTTCACTTCACTGCAGCCTAGATTCCAGAGCCACCTCTCTGTGCTAGGCACGGGGAACAGATGTGA